AGTACATTCCGGAAGAAATTGTTAGTATAAAGCCGGTTCCAGGGTAAAGTTGGGCCTTTCTACTTTTATGTGTCCTTGTATTCTGTATCTGCAACTATTTCTACCTTGATAGCTATTTCTTTGTGTTCTTTTTTTAACTTTATTTTCTGTCAATCATAAATGTAAAGCATGTGATTAGGAATTAGGAATAACAGAACTTCAGATCATATCATAGAATGTGATGAATTCTTTCGTTTTCTAGCGGCATCTCATTTTGCCTCTTCAGATGATTTCTTCTTACTCTTTTAAATGTTCTCAATCATGACAAGATTGACTTTCTACTTTTGTTATTTAATTCTAAGTCCAATCAAATAATTCACTTCAGGTACATTATAGAGCAGATGGAGTACTCAAATATTGGAGCTACTGAATTAACACTATCGAATGGCATGCGGGTTTGCTATAAGCATACAGACTTTTTTGATGACCAGGTATAATTCCTTTGATTATTGCAGCATCTTTTCTGTTGTTTGATTTCCTGGCTGAGAGAACATTCAATTTGAATCTTAATTCTAGTAAATTAGCCCTAAGACTGCTTTATGCGTCTTTTATTTGATTTCAAGGCATGATATTCTTTCTAGAGCACCATTACATATTAAAAATATGCTTCTTATGCACCATTTCAACAGGTTCTTTTTACTGGGTTTTCATATGGGGGCTTATCTGAACTTCCTGAAAGTGAGTATTTTTCATGTTCAATGGGATCAACCATTGCTGGAGAAATTGGTGTATTTGGTCATAGACCATCAGTGCTAATGGACATGCTTGCTGGAAAAAGAGTAGAAGTTGGTACAAAGCTTGGGGCCTATATGAGAACCTTCTCCGGTGATTGTTCTCCTTCAGACTTAGAAACTGCCTTGCAGGTTTGTTTCACTGGACTTTTAAATGTAAAATTGTAGAGTATTTTCTGTGTTCTAAATTATTTTTCCACACCTATCCTAATGCAATTCATCCACATGCATCTTTGTTATAACTTGTTGCTATAATCCCAAATGAGATAATAGGACTTGGAAGTACTCAACTTGATTCAAGTACCATAATTCCTCTGAAGTTTTCTGCAGCATCTGGCACTAGCTTTGGAACTAGGCATCCAAATATTTTTTGAAAATTTTCCTTCTGTATGTTGTCTGCCTTCTCTTTGGCGGACAACACTCTGCCTTGATTTACCAAATTTAATGTGCTAAATATTTGTTTTCTTGCTCATCTTTTCTGACTTTACTGTAAAGGTTTCTAAATTATTTAGTTTCTCCCTGAAACTGTTCTGGCAGCTTGTCTATCAACTATTTACAACAAATGTAACTCCAGGGGAAGAGGAAGTCAAAATAGTGATGCAAATGGCAGAAGAAGCAGTTCATGCACAAGAGAGGGATCCTTATACTGCATTTACAAATCGGGTGAAAGAGCTCAACTATGGAAACTCTTACTTTTTCCGGGTATGTATGATCTCATGTTTTAAATTTCTCTGATTTTTTCTGGCAGGTGTACCTTCTTTTAACTTTCTTTTGGTTTATTCTTTTGTAGCCTATTAGAATAAGTGACCTCAGAAAAGTTGATCCAGTAAAAGCTTGTGAATACTTCAACAGCTGTTTTAAGGACCCATCAACTTTTACAGTCGTGATAGCAGGGAATATTGATCCCACAATTGCACTTCCTTTAATATTGCAATATTTGGTAGGTTGGGATTCTTTTAAGGTACCAAGGTCTGCTTTCATCTTTCATTGTGTTAACAAAGGTTGCAATTATATGCAGGGTGGAATACCAAAGTCTCCTGAAGCCATATTCCATTATAACCGTGATGATCTCAAAGGATTACCATTTAAATTTCCTACGACCATAAATAGGTAGGTACTTCTATGTCTGGTGGTGGTAGACAATGTCAAGATGTTTGACCAGAAGGTTTAGGTGGAGTCAGTTTTGCTGTCAATGGATTGTTCTTGACTTTAAATTTTAGCAATCTCTGTAACATATACAATTGTGCATGCATGCATGTGTGTGCATATTGACCAACTTTTGACATAGGCTAACAGGTAATTTCTATTGGCATTCAACAATCTTTCTGATGCATTTGTTGTGCTTGTAGAGAGGTGGTACACAGCCCCATGGTAGAAGCACAATGTTCAGTCCAGCTATGCTTTCCTGTGGAGTTGAAGAATGGAACAATGGTTTGTGGGTGTTTTTTTTTCTCATAGATCCACATAAATCTGGCAAAGGAATAACTTAGAATCTTTATTGACGTTTTCTTTTATTTTATGCAACTTGCTATTGGAAACTAATATGGCAGGTAGAAGAGATTCACTGTGTTGGGTTCCTGAGCAAACTTCTTGAAACAAAAATATTGCAGGTTCTTCGTTTCAAGCATGGGCAGGTATGTACTTCTCCTGGAATTAATGTTTATCTGTTTAATTATTCTTTGACTAATGTTCTGTAATTGCCCTTTATGTACCAGATCTACTCTGCAGGTGTTTCTGTGTTCCTTGGTGGCAATAAACCTTCTAGAATTGGTGATCTTCAAGGTGATATGAGTATAAACTTTTCTTGTGATCCAGAAATCTCCTCAAAGTTGGTAGGCATTATTTGTTATAATTTGCCTTTCTATCTTTCCCTGGTTGTATTGACTAAGTGGCAGTCATCTCACAGATTCAGTTGTGGAACAGGTGGATCTTGCTTTGGATGAAGTAGTACGTCTTCAAGAAGAAGGGCCTTCGGATCAGGATGTTTCAACCATACTTGAAATTGAGCAGAGAGCCCATGAAAATGGACTGCAGGTTAAATTTTTTTTTTACGAGCCTTTTATGTTAAAATTTTTTTCTAGTCCTTTCGGTATTAAGATTTAAGGATGGTAGCTTACATCTCCTTTTCCATCTTTATTGCTTAAGTCATAGCAGAATTCCATATCATCATCAGTATTTGACCTAACTGCTTGGCATTTACTGTAGATAATTATCTATGAATAAAAAAATAAAAAACACAGTACACTCAATTCTGGATGCTAATTTGCAATCGCTCTCACAGGAGAATTATTACTGGCTGGAGAGAATTTTAAGAAGCTACCAGTCAAGGATCTACTCTGGTGATGTCGGCACTTCCTTCAAGGTGGTTCGCCTGTCTCTTACCTGAAGTTTATTTCTTTAAATTTTTATTTTCCATTTGCCTTTCCTTTTTTTTTGAAGCAACCGTCTGACTTTCTTATGTCATCTAATCTGAGAGTTTGGTTTTTGATGTGGTCTGAAATCTGAAGGGACAAGTATATCCACAAGTAACTATGTACATTTAATAATGGTTTTGACCATAAAGTTCAAAAGTACTTCTGGTTTGAAACTATATTTAAAGAAAAGGAGAAGATGATATGTTCTAATATCATGTGGATTACTGTTGGCCTCAAGCATGTCGTTCTCAGTCATCTTTTCTTTCTCTTAAATAGAGTAGAACAATTATTTACTCATTTTGATTCTTCTTCTGGTGCAGATTCAAGATGAAGGACGATCTAGGGTTAGAGAATCTCTGACACCTTCAACAGCTCAGTCAGCATTGCGAAGGATACTGCCTTACCCTTGCAAAAATCAGTACACTGTTGTGATTCTTATGCCACAAGCATCCCAGTTTAAGTTGCTCAGATCACTTTTCCAACGGACTGTTAATAGTAGAGATGCAAAGGTCAGCTATCTTCTTCTTTACTTTACTTACCTCTGTGTTTTGGAATGTATTCGAATACAAATGTCGTAATTCGGATTTCTATTACACTTTGGTGCAAGTTTTTCTTCTTGATTCCTGATTTCTTATAAGATTTTTCTATAAAGGTTTTTTTTCTATGGAACTATTTAACCCACTTATCAAAAATTTTGAAATGGATGATTATATTATACCAAATGTGTGTGTCATTTCACCCACCGGATACATTTTTCATCACCAGTCGAATTTTCCCCTTGTATGATTTCAGGTTGTTAATTAAAGAAGTAAACTAACGTGCTTTTATGTGGGACACAGATTTTATTAGGCATTGCTAGTTTAACAGTTCTGGCTGTCTGCCTGTGGAGATATTCACGGAAGTCTTAACTCACCTGTATGTATAAAGGCCTTGTATTGCTTGGGGAGCATGAAACGTGAAGCAATAATTAGGATTGAATTAATTGTTCATTGATGTTCGAGATACAGCCATACAGGTTGCTCCATTGACCATTCATATTAGCGGGAATCAATCAAGGGAAAGCAACCACTAAATCTACTTCTGGGTTTCAATAGATGCTTGAAACAAATGTATACCCATTTTTTACCCGCCCGGATTACTCTTTTTGTCTACTAATTTTTTTCATGGTGTAACGTTAGCATTTGCTTGAAGATGTCAAGACATCAAATCACATAGAAATGAAATAATTGTACTATTTAAAATCCTGTTCTCTATGGTTACTTCAACCTTAACAATAGCCACCATCCCAGTAGTAATTTTTGCAGGTTGATGCTATTATTGTGGTTTCATTCTTGCAAACTGATACTTAGCATGAGGATCATCCTTTAGGTGTACTGTTGAATGATTGTAGAGACCTGCTGGCATTGTTCCTCTAGGTTGATGTGATACATGTGTGATCTGCCTCGTGAAGGGAATTGTTGCACAAATCGGCTAGCAAATTTGGTGCAGGACTTAGATGTTGATGATGTGACCTGAGATTGTAATTTTATTTCTTTTCTTATGGTACCAAAAATAAATAAATAAATAAATCAAATCCAATCCTACATGGATTTTGTATTTTTGATTTATTAAACAAATTTATCTCACAACATTCTTATTCCCTTTTTTTCCTTGCCAAAATATTTTATCCTTTTTTGTGGGTTGGGGGATTGAAACCTATTACCATGGATTTGAGCTTCATAGTGAAGGCCCCAATCAAAGTGGCGGTCCACGGTCCACTCATATGCCTAAACGACGCCGCTCTTATCTACGAAACTGAGTGTTTTTATAGAGCTTTATTAGGGTATGCAAACTAGGGTTTTCTGTTTCAGTTTTAACTGAGGTCCCCTTCTCTGTTTTGCCCCTCTTCTCTTTTCGAGCTTCTGCATTCCTTCAAACGCCGCCAGGTCTCTCTCTCTCTCTCTCTCTCTCACCGTTTCCCTCCGTTTGGTTTCCGGGAAATTCAACGGGAAACTGGAAAATTTTTAAAAAGAACTACGCTATTATTTTCCCTGTTTCTCATTTTTTTTAAAAATTAAAAATTGTTGATTAATGGTCGGTTTTGAACTGACAAAAGGTGACTGAATGCAGGTAAGGTCTAACTCAAGAGAGAGTGACAATGGTTGAGAAAACAAGGGGAAGAAAGGAAGAGGTGGTGACCAGAGAATACACCATAAACCTTCACAAGCGCCTCCATGGCTGGTAATTAATCTTTCCCCTTAAAAAAAAAAAAATCGTTGATATGCTTTCCTTTTCCCTTCTATTCTTAGTATTGTGCTTTTTGCTTGGTGGGTCTTTTTTGGTTTGGTTGCAAAACTAGCTTCTTGCTTTACATAGTTTTTGCTTGATTTAGTACTCTTTTCAATATTTCAATGATGTCTATCTATCCCATTGTTAATTTGACCTCCAGTGTTTGTTATTCATGTTGTTTGTGATAAGCGGGCTAGCTATCCTATTATAATCATGAATTTAGGTGGCTAAGTAATGGTTTTTCATGGGGATAAGAAATGGCACTTTGGATTTGGGTGTGTAAGTGATTTTGAGATTCATGATGCTTTGGATGAAATGTTTTTCCACTGTTCGGTATTGGGTATTAGTGAAAACACATACCTCGGTTGCCTATAAGTGTAATTTTGTTCTTGGAAGTTGGCGGAGTGGATTTTAATTATAGTAAAATAATGCTATACCGAATGCCTATTTTAACATATTATAGTATGATATATTTGTTCTGTTAACAGCAATAGCTTTATGGAATAATCTTAACTATACTTCTGCCTTTGAATTGGGGGGAATAAGAAGTTATTTCTGCTGCTTAGTGTCACTTTGTTCAAATAGGTTTAATCATATTGAAGTTTATGAGGTCCATCAAAAGGTTTGAGTACCTATTTTTAACTATCTTCTTGGTAATCTTGGAAACAGCACATTCAAGAAGAAAGCTCCCAAGGCTATAAAGGAGATCAGGAAATTTGCACAAAAAGCCATGGGGACCAAGGACGTGAGAGTTGATGTCAAGCTGAACAAGCACATCTGGAGCAGAGGGATCCGAAGTGTCCCAAGAAGGATTAGGGTTCGCATTGCTCGCAGGAGAAATGATGATGAAGATGCAAAGGAGGAGCTCTACTCTCTAGTAACCGTTGCTGAAATCCCAGCTGAAGGATTGAAGGGTTTGGGCACCAAGTTCATTGATGATGATGAGTAATTTATTGATCTTTAGTTGTTTGAAAACTTGCATTGTGTTCACCAAGAAGTTTACATCAGAGTTTTGGCTGGTGTTACAATTGTGACTTGTGAGACGAACCATTTTCCTCATATATTTGGTTTATTGTTGTTTAGACTTTTTAAGTTCTAAGCTTGGTGCTTTTTAGTTTTGGCTGTAGTAGAGATGGGTATTCTAGAACCTTATAAAAAGATTCAAATGATGAATGTTAGGGCTACCAGTGTTAGCTCTCCTATGATTTGTGAACGTAGGGTTGCCACTTGCCATTCCAGAAAATACACTATTTATGTTTCAATTTGATGGATGCAGTTAGGCGCTCGTGCAATTGAAATTTCCCGCAGATTAAGAGTATCATGGTTGCACACTTGCGCTTGCATCGTTCCAGGCTTTCTAACCTCCTTCGGCTTTTTAATTCGAGAACAATTCCAACCTTCTATAATTGATAATGATGACATTGGACAACAGGAGACTAGCAATTTCTCACGGTTACACCAAGGCAGCCAACAGGGTTTACTGCTGGGCTTATTTCATGACAATAATAATATAAATAACAAATTAGTAACATATCATCATTTGAAAAAAAAAAAAAAACAAACTAGCATATGAAGTAGGTAAAAAGTCTGTAGACTGTTGACAGTTTATGGTAGACTTGACTATTAAACGACCCAAAATTATACAAAAAAGAGGAGTAAAAAGAACAAGAATCCTCCAACTATGGTTTCTGTTCCAGTCTGTCCACAGAATTAATGGTGAACACGTAGTTCTTTTTGTAACGCAGAGAAGTGAGGATAAGTTCTCAGCTGCCACACTATGCCATTGGACATACTTTCTTCAACCCCATTGACTCACAAAAGCTGCTTCTAATTCTCAATCCTGCTAGAAAAACTAGTGCAGTCTGATACTGAGTTGAAGCAGAATTCTAGCCCGCTTTAAAAGCATACATATAGCTTCTGAGTTTTCTTACTTCTTCTGATGACTCAGAAAGGAGATGGTCCACGTAGAGACATACCCCAGCTCCACTGCAAGTTGATTGAACAAGTAAGAATTTGATATGCATTATGTACAGATAAAGAAAGGCAGGAACCATATAGACCATACCTCAAGGGCCCAAGAGGAAGCCACATAACATCCCAACGGAATTTAGGAATTCTACCATGCAAATTAGCATTGCATCAGTAAGCAAGTGACAGGACATAAGATATTAGAACATCCAGATTGATGAATCAAAGAATAAACTTAAGCAAAACAAGAACATCTCAAGAACATCTTAATTACAAAAGAAAACAAATTGAAAAGACTGCATTAGAAACCAATTTCAAAATATAACAAATGAAGCTCATAGGCCTAAAACTGCTTTGACTACATGTATTTCAATGACTATATAGAATCTAACAAAAGTGTATCTGATTAAAAATGACTGGAATACAAACTGTTCGAATGGAGCTGACCACGCATTACTTCATTTCATTCCCCTTAAACCACAAAACTTTGTCCCTTTTTCCCCCACAATTAAGCATCATAGATTGTTCTTACAAATTTCCATGGCACCATCGAGGCAATCAATACTGATAATGAAAATCAAATATATGGCGGTTAAAATTCTGAGACTCTGATGTACCTCAGCATGTGATATAACCAGAAAACTGCAAGCACAAGGCCGAGAGAGCATGAGTACCATATCCATCTTCAGTGATCCTTTGAATTATAGAATAGACCCATAATGGCCATTGAGCAAGCCAAAATAGCTAGCCAATCTGTTAAAGGATAAACTTAGTAAATTTATCTAACAGTTAGAAAAACCAAATCAGCCATGTTGAATGTAATAGGAGTGGAAAATATCTAAGATGAATAGAAAATTAAGGGCAAAAAGAAAGTATTGTGAAACAATATGGCTGTATTTCACCAAAAGAATAGTCAGGACTTCTGGAATAATTAACATGTAACAGGAACAACCAGCCAATGAAGGAATGTAGATCAATGTGGATAAGCAAACAGTCACACCTGCAGTTATTATTATCCATGAATCAAGCTGTTCCATGAAGTAAGCATGGTACCGCTGTTAATCAAAGTCCAACAAGTTATATTTGATGGTTAGTGATAAGAAAAAAAGAAATGGTATGCAATCCACCAATGGACTCTCAAAGTGCATCATGGACCTTGACACAACAATCCAAGTACATTAGCAACTCTATAATCATACTCAAGAAAAATTACCAAGAGTAATATGCTCAGTAATGGTGATAAAGTTTTTGGGTCATATTAAGTAATTGGGTACTATCTATATGAGTAATTCGAACCAGTTCCCATGGAAACAAGGTCTGCGGATAGATGGAGTATAGAAGAAACCCGGAGTAACAAAAGAGAAGTGCTGCAAACACACTCTACAAGTTCAAAAACAGAATGATTACTAAATATATATAATATGAGTAAAGAAATTAGGATGGGAAATGAAGGGAAAGAAAAAGCTTTTTTTTTTTAGATTATGAAAAAGCAAAGATACTACCTTCCATTGAAGACTTTGGTGAGCATGCATGCTTTCAAGCGAACGGACCAACTGCTCTTGTTCTGCCAATTTCAAGACATTACCAGCAAAAGAATAGCTTTCCTTTTTTATTATTACTATTCAAATAAGGACATAAACAAATTTGTTGTCTGGGCAAAAGTGAAAGAGAGAGAAAGAGACCGTGGGTATCCATGGGACGAGAATCGTCGAGGGTTGGGAGAGAAAACTTGTCATCTTCAGAATTTCGAAACTGTCTCGCCAGTTTCCTCATTTTCAACCAAATTCACAAGATGAATCTGTCTTAAAGAAAGTAACCAAGAAAAAAAAGGATCGTTTTGGAAATTACTGTGTGTGTGTGTTGATGTGCAGCCGGTCACGGTTGAAAAGCCAAAGAAGATGGCCAGATTGTTAGAATCTGGAAGATCAAAACCAAACAAGGCAGCTATACGGCGCCGTTTCAAACTCAGGCTTCAATAATCAAAATTACTTTAGATTTTGGTGTTTTGCTTATGATTGCTATACGGCGCCGTTAGTGGTAGCATTTATCATTTAGTAATTTGCTTATTAAACACGATCAAAATGAAAGAAAATTTACCTTTTATCAGAATTCTAATTTTAAAATATAAAATATATTTGTCCCTTATCAGAGTTCAAATTCTAATAATTTTAAATAAAATAAAAAAAACTAAAAAGAAAATTTGTAATACCCAGCATAAAATTATGCTCAAACTTGTGTTGGTTGATGGTTGATTAATGCATTTAGGAAGGAATGAATAACAAAAGGCAGGGAGTCTTATTACACAAGAAAACAACAGTAACAAATAATAAATTGGAGCTGTTAAGAAGAAATGGAGCAATAATGAAAAAACAGTTTTACTACAACAATTTCTTTTCAATCAAAGTAATTTAATCAGTAAGGCCTGAATACTAGGGCAAAATACTAACATTCATGCATATTTTTAAACTGAAAATCAAGACCATTTTCTCTGGTCATCTGGGAAAACAATCAAAGATCAGCTCTCCCTGGATATCTTGGGAAAGGAATAACATCTCTAATGTTGTCGATGCCAGTGGCAAAGAGAATCATTCGTTCAAAGCCTAAACCAAATCCACAATGTTTAACTGTTCCATAGCGCCGCAGGTCAAGATACCACTCATATGGCTCGAGAGGCAGCCCCATCTCTATAATTCTGTACAGAGAATAGAAACCAAAGCCAGGTTCATTATTTTTATCATTACCTAAAGTTTTTTCACTATGTCTAGAAGAGTATCCTATGCCATATAACTAAGCAGTACAAAACTAAAATACCATCATGATAGGAACCAAGAAAATATTCCCTCGTACCTTTCCCGAATGACCTCATAACGCTCTTCCCTTTGGCTTCCCCCAATCAGTTCTCCAACCTGAAATGTTTGTAAAATATCCACTCGCAAATGTGAAAAAGCAAAAAGCGGAATTGTGAAGAAATACGTAATGTACAGAATGAAAATGCCCACCTTTGGCACAAGGACATCCATAGCAGCAACAGTCTTCAAGTCATCATTGAGCCTCATGTAGAATGCTTTAATTCCTTTTGGGTAGTTATAAACAATAACAGGCTTCTGAAATTTAACCTCTGTCAAGTATCTGCAAGGTATTGCAAAATAAAATATTAGCACCCACACTTCAAGCGGGTAGACAAAACAACTACACAGACTTGCATACCTTTCATGCTCAGATGCTAAATCAAACCCCCACTCCACTTCATTCTCAAATTTCTTACCACCTTTCACAGCTTCCTCTAATTGCTCCACCGCTTCTGTGTATGATATTCGTACAAAGGGAGTTGAAGCAACCATTCTCAGCCGGTCAATGCAACCTTTATCATAATTTTTAGCCATGAATTCCATATCACCAAGGCATTTCTCAAGCAACCATTTACACATATATTTCACGTAAGCCTCAGCACAGTTCATGTCATCCTGCAACAGTATCCAATCTTTGATTTAACATCCACATGAATATTTTTTTAGACCACATAAATGAAAGTAAAAGGCAAATTATGAACAAGTAACAGACATACCTGAAGATCAGCAAATGCTATTTCAGGCTCTACCATCCAAAATTCTGCCAAATGCCTTGAAGTGTGAGAGTGCTCAGCCCGAAAAGTTGGCCCAAAAGTGTATACATTACTAACAGCACAAGCATATGTTTCAACCTGTAGTTGGCCAGAAACTGTCAAAAAAGCTTGACGAGCAAAGAAATCTTGAGTGTAGTCAATCTTGCCATCCTTTTGGGGGATTCCAGGTGTCAACTTAAATCTCTCCTCCAGCTTTGAGAGACTCTCCTTCGCTTTGTTAAGTTCCACCACAGAAGCACTGATATCCTCCTTGCTTGCTTTAGCAGCTTTAAGCTGTTTAACAGCCTCTCCTCTCTCACTCACAAGCTGCCTAGCTGCTTCTATATCCACCTCTGATGGAGAAGGGGTTTTAATCAGCTCCTTCTCCAACTTTTCAGCTTCACTAATCAAAGTTGTAACTTGAAACATTTCACCAGCACCTTCACAATCACTAGTGGTTATGATTGGAGTGTGCACATAAAGGAAATGATGCTCTTGGAAGAACGAGTGAGTAGCAAAAGCAAGTGCATTCCGAATTCGAGCAATGGCAGCAATCTGAGTCCATTTATAATTACCAAGAATTACAAAATAATAACACAAGAAGTAGCAAAATACCATACGTATTATACAAAACATCTTAGGTATAATAAATCATGAAAATATGAATATTAGATGATTCCTAAAGATACCCAATTTTTCTTACAAAAATTTATATTTGGTTTCGAATTAAAGTTTTAAGCTTTTTTAGGAAATACAATAGTTTTGGAACGTCCCAAAAAGGAAAGATGAGCGTTCAGTTTGGGGAAGAGACTCATACCGTGTTGGTCCTAGACCGGAGATGAAGATGGTCCCTCAAAAATTCAAGTGTGAGCTTCGTTTTGGGTATTGGGTACTTAGCAGGATCTACCTCACCTATATGAACCACTTGTTCGACACGAAGCTCAATCCTTTGCCTCGTCCCTTCAGGTGGCACCTTCAATATTCCATCAACCACCACGCACGTCCCGGTCGCCACCAGCTTGCCCAGAACAGCAACGCCGGCGTCCACAATCACCTGCAGGTTCGCAGGACACGAACCATCGTTCAGTTCCAAGAACGCGAAAGTTCCTTTCCCTTGCTCTCTCCCTGTCTTTACCCAACCACCGGCTCGGACTCGTTGCCCTGCGAGGCCAGCCCCGCCGTCTGGCCTGCCCACGATGGACCGGATCAGGACTCGATCAGAGAATGAGTGGTTCTGGACGGCGTCGCTCAAGTTCAACGCGTCAAGTTGGTCCGCCGGCGGCGGCGTCTGATCTGTTTCCGCCATTGTCCTTTTCAGCGTCGCTAAAGTGAACAGGAAAAGTGCAGACTTTTAGATATAGAAACTTATGATAAACCCTAAAAATGGATTTTTTATATGTGTTCAGGGGTGATCCGTCGGAGCCAAGACTACAATAATTTTGATGTGCTCCAATGAGGGCTGCGTTTCAATGTTTGGTTTTCTACACGTGTATTTTGTTTATTGGGTGTCTTTAATGTCCCCTATCGACTCTTTTAGTTTTTGGCCGTCTGGAACGGACGAAACGATGTTAAGGATTCTTAGGCGCGTTAGTTTGAGGCGGAATCTTGTTTCCATGCTGGCCCTTCTAGAATCTATAATTTGTCCAATTTTCCTTCAATTTCTCTAGTATTTTTATTGGACACAAAATTTTAAATTAAAAAACCTGTCATTGTTCGTTTTATTTCACAATTCATATATTTATATTTATTTATTTTTTATTAAATAAATATATATAAATTATAAAAACTATTATATTATAAATTATGACACTTTAAATATAAATATTTTTTTATATTTATCAAATTTATATAATTTTTTATTTTTTAAATTAGGTCTTTTTATTTTGTTTTTATATAATTTTGTATATTATATTTAAAATTATTAAGTGTATTGTACATTCGCCTCCTCTTCTGTTGTCTTGGGATAATGGAATCTAAATTTTTCTAGTCTTGAAAAATAATAAATTCCTGAATAAATTTTCGATAAAAAATTATTTGAGACTGTAAATTCCAAGTAAATTTGAAGATATAACATTTGTAAAGCAAATAATATATATCTAAGTTTAGGGAAAGTGACAAGGGCCCATTAAATGGCCCCAACACCATTCATTACGAGCCCGATAGGCTGCAATGAGATACATACTGTTTTCTTCTGTTTTTCTATATGGCCCAAATTCAATTTCGGGGTCTTAACCCGGCCTAAAATAGTCCACAACACAATATAACCATACCAAAACCCTAACCCTAGTCTTTCTTATTCTCTGCTCGCCGCCAAAGCGAACCAAAGAGATAAAAAAAAAAAAAAAAAACGAGAGGCTCAGCAGCCAGAGAGCAGTGTTTTGACAATTCGCCATGGGTAAACCTTCAAATCTTCCTTACCTTTATTTCTTAGGGTGTTTTTCCATTTTTGTTGATGTTGATCATTTTGAATCGTGTTGGTTATTTCAGGTAAGGTTCACGGATCTCTAGCTCGTGCTGGTAAGGTGAGAGGCCAAACTCCTAAAGTGGCAAAGCAAGACAAGAAGAAGAAGCCCCGGGGCCGCGCTTACAAGCGGATGCAATACAACCGACGCTTCGTCACCGCAGGTGATTATTGTTTCTCTCCACTTTTAATTCCCTTTGTTTTTCTGTGGGTTTTTGATGTTCAACTTGGATAAGCTGGTTCGATTTTGATCTTATTGAATTTCTTTCAATGCTAAAAAAACCCAGTTTTTATGTTTGTTTTTTATTAATTTTTATTGGAAATTTTTCCTCTAGTAATGGGATTCATTTTTGCTCTTGGAAGAACTTTTGTTGTGAACTGATTTTCACTGAAACTAAATGATTGTAAAGAATATGAATTTAAAGTAATTTATTTTGTTTTGGGGTTTTTACAGTTGTTGGATTTGGCAAAAAGAGGGGACCTAACTCATCTGAGAAGTAAGAGAGCTACGTAGGTGAAGAAGCCTTGTTGCAAGCATTGATGGATTAAGTCTTTGTTTTTTTTTTGTAACGTTTTTATGATACTTATTTTTAGCTACTGGTTTCAAGGATTGAGTTGAACTTTCATTTTGTTAGCTAGAGATGATGTGATTTTGCTATCAATTGTCTTAATTTTTGGCGTTCTATGAGTTCGTTTCTTCTTTATGCGTGCTAAATTACTTGCCCTTTTCAATTCTGAAAGTATAACTTTCTAGTTGTGAGGATTGAGGAGAGAAAGGATTGAAAATACTACTATCAGAGAATGTTAAAACTGAAATAACGAATGAATGATTGTGGTATAATGTATTTGATTTCACATTTTATTTTCCATGATAATGAAATGTGGAACTTTTTATAGTTAAGGCGTTACCAGTTTTAATCCACTGGAAGGATTCTACGGTATAGTTGTGGTTGTCATGAAATATATGCATTAGCTGAACTCTATTGATGAGGGATTATGCATTGGTTCTCCCACAGCCTTTTGTCATTTTAGTCCGTATCTTAAGTGGGTTTTCTATCCTTGTTCCATATTCCCACCAAAAATAAACATGCATTTGATGAGTCTTGTAGTCCTTGAATTGGTTATTTTGTGGTTTAGCAATCATAACATGTTCAATCAGTCCATTCCTTTTCTCTTAGGATGAATAAGGCATGTGTACCGTAATCGAATTATGGGGTTCGAAATTATTTGAATACCATTCTCATGTCATTTGCCGTGGCCCATGGAGAACGGTTTGTTGTTGAAAGATGATCTAGAACAGTTTTCATCTATGTCGGACACCGGAATTCTATTGTTTTGAAGCTCTCAAACTTCGAGACTCATTATTTGTGTTTTTTGTAGCAGATGTAAATATTTTCAGGAGCTTGGTAGCAAATAGCGATCCATCTTTCTTAGGAGCAGATATCATGTTAGTATCTCCTGTTATCCTATCCTACTTAAAGAGAATTTTGGCGGACGATAGGGGTCCAAATACCAAATTACACGGTTGGTGTTTGTGGTTACTACCCAAACGATGATTGGCAAGTAAGGTTAAAATGGTTGTCACAGCCAACTATCAATGGTTATGATACCATAGCCCATACTGCTGTTCTCATTGAAAGTTTTCTTCTCTTTTTCTCATTCCAACTTTTGACAATTTTTTTCAATAGTAAGACCAAATTGATGTCATTAAAAGTAGATAGAAACAAACTATTTTTGAAACAATGTAAGGAATCGCTTACAAAGAGAAAAGAAATCAGTTTTCAACTCCGAGAAGAAACCGTCAGCCACTGCGGATGCAGTCCTTCACCATGGTAGCGTTCCTTCGCCCCTGTAATCAACATGCACTCGATAGCACATATATTAAAGTTGAGATTGAGTAATATATCACTAAATAAATACAAATTATAACCAAGAGAATACCGATTCCATTGATTTGTTGCAATATGTAATCACTGCCTTTAAGTTCTCATCACGCTCTTCGGCGTTCATTGCACTGTATGCATGATCCGGTGAAGGTGACGCCCTCACTGAGTGGATAGAGCTAGCTTTCGATGCTGTGACAGAATTTTCCTTGCTTGATTTCTGTTTGCCTTTGGAGTTTGATCTCTCAGGACTGTAACATGTCAAAAACTGCTTCATTGCCTTCCATAAACTCCTACCACGACTCTTCCCGGACTTTGCCGTGGGTGAAGGTGTGGCAAACATCAGACTATGGGATAGTGGTGAGACTGATGAGATGTTATCTGTGGAAGCTCTGGAATTTAAGCTTAAGGTTCTAGTGCAAGGCTTTGAATCAGGGCGTTGGAGGGGGGTTTTATTCCTGGAGGAAGAAATAGGACTCAGAACCCAAGATTCATCTGGGACACCGTGGAGCTCCATAAATCTCTGTGTCTTTTGTAAGAGAAGGGTGTTTTGAATTGTCTCAAAGAAATTCCTCGTGTCCTCTACTGCCTATTAAATGAAAATACTTACTGGCAATATTTTGCAAGTTTGAATTTTATTAATTACACGTTTATAGGCTATGAAACTGATGTTTCCATATGTTTGCTTATTTACCAAAGTCGGCTTCGTTGGAGAGAGAATTATGGGCCGAAGCAATTAATGTTCAAGTTTTGTTCCTGTTTGACAACTATAATTCCTTATTAGACAACACCTCAGTCTTTAGATTTATTGACTCCACAACTATCTTCTGTTGGGATTCAGCCAATAGATGTTGGCAAAGAGCCCATCAGTAGCATGCTTGCAATTGAATTTCAAGGAATCTGAGTTCTACTGCACACCCCTATGTGCACCCCCGCCCATGAGCATTCAAAAAGCTCACAATCATGCAATTTACTTTACTATTTACCCAAAAAAGAAAAAAAAATTGTTTCCCCATCGAGAAAAATGTCAAAAAGTTGGCATTTACTCGCTTCATGCCTTCATTTATCCGTCAAAAAATACAGACAGGACAACACTGTCAAATGAAGCATTAAGAGTTCCAAAACTGGTATGCTCCATCTATGTCAATTCATATATTGTTTTTTTTATAACTGAGATTGTCAGCATTTTAAACCTAATTGCTGGAATTAAGAGTCAAATACTCTATTAACAGACCACATAGTTGTCGGCACTTGGCACCACATCAAAATATAAATTCCTTCACTAGGCAATAGAAGATAGGTTCATCAAGACTCCTGAGAACGAGTTAAATTTAAGCATGTAGCTATTGCCAGCATTAAAATCAAATTAGTTCATAGTAGTTTGGATGAGACATACAACTACATACCTACTTGACACCTCAATTTTATCTGTTCAGAGTTCATCATGATAACTTCCTTCTGGTGGTGAAGAACGTTTAGGTGGATTTTCCAAGAGGTATGTTGTCGCCAATGACGCATGTAGAGCTGCACCATATGGAAATATATCTTCATTAACTCTAAAGTAGGGTGAGTGCCCTGATTGAAGTGGTCCTTGAGTCTCATTCTTCATCCCAAGAAAGAAGAAAAGTCCTGGAATCGCCTCCGAAAAGAATGCAAAATCCTCTGCTCCCATCCGAGCTTCTGCTTCTATAACGTTCTGAAGGCCCAACGTTTCCCCTGCAACCTTTCTGAATTGTTCATGCAACTCTTTGTTGTTTACGCACACAGGGTAAGAGGACTTTTCATCGAAGATGACTGTTGCATTGCATCTCTGTACACTTGCTTGTTTCGTAATAACCTGTAACTTTGCATTGTAAGATAACATCCAAGACAGAGTACTCTATAACGAAAAATCCATTCCTTGTTACATATCAGCCTTCTTCCTTTTCCGCTGTTAAAGGAGAGAAAGAAAAATCCCTCGTACAGACCAGTGCAGAGGGGAAAAAGAAAAAGGGCAAAGAAGTTACGGAAACATCTTAAGCTTCCAACATGCATTTCTCCTGGTTATCCAGAATAAAGTTATGCATTACAAGTAAGAAACAAGAGTACCTCCTCAATCCTTTGTTTGAGTTGAACAAAGCTTTCTTTCGAAAATGCCCTAAAAGTGCCACCAATGGTAACAGAATCTGGAATAACATTAAATGCACCACCACCTTGAAATTTGGCAATGCTAACCACCTGCAAGATCATATTCTTCCTAGTTAAATAGAAATGAGTCATCATGTCAAGAAGAAAGTATCTCAAATCTACACAAATATCTTCAGCAGAATAGATATTAGACCAAAAGAAATAGAACAAGACATATAAGCAATAACAGAGATGAAATCTATCAACGACCTTACTTGAAAAGAAGAGAAATCTATAAAAAAAAAAAAAGTCAAAGAAACTGACATAACATGTACAACACAATGCTATAAGTGCAATGTACTTATTTCAAAATCAAAAGTGGGAAAAGAGAAATAAAATTTCCATTACATCAAACCATAAAATTGCACTGCAGTAAATTTGCCTACAGGTCATGTACACTGAAGATGTTTAAAATAAATAAAAAAGAATGTTTATATCCAATACATTTTGTAGGTGTCCTTACCTTCACAAAACAAGGATGGGAAAGATTACACAGGAGTTTTGTGAAGGTTTGGGGCAGGTTCCCAAGGTGACACTTTTCGTGCTTTTCCAATTAAGGGGGAGCAAAAGGAACAAATACAAAGAAAACTAAATCTAACACTGATTGTCAGAGCGCACGGCCAAGAAAGAGAGAGATTACCTGAGAATCCAAGGGATCAGCTTCACGTGAAATTAGATGTTGCAAACTAACAATCACATTGGAAGCTGCTAAAATTGGGTCTACTGTATGCTGAGGAATAGCAGCATGTCCCCCCTTTCCATTAATTACAGCCTCAAAGAAACTGGAGGCAGCTAAAATTGGGCCAGGACGGGAGGCCACAACACCAATTGGGTGTCTAGCAGATACATGGAGTGCAAATATGGCGTCAACATTCTCTAAAGCTCCAGCATCTAACATTTTTTTGGCTCCCCCACCCCCTTCTTCAGCCGGTTGAAAAACCAGAACAATTGTTCCCTATTGAACAACAATCTTAAATTTAACATAAACAGCAAATGAATCAAGTATGCATCCCGAGTTCAATTAAGAATGTGTGAATTACGAGGTCAAACCCATAAAACAAAGAATTGCTAATGCATGAATTGCTCATTTACTGCTAAAAAAAGGTTTAAAACGATGATTACACCAAAGTTCTCATGTGAAGTAATCTAGAGAAACATAGGAGCCATGAATACAATCTTAATTGAATCAATTTATGTTACAAGCAGTAGTACTCCAGCTCTTTTCCAACATCCCCCTAACTTATAGAGTGAGAAAAAAAACTTGTAAAATATATTAAGAAGATAATATTTTGCAGAAGCTACAATAAAGCAAGGAACCTGCAAATCATTTCGATGTTCTTGAAGCATCTTTGCAGCACCAAGAAGCATAGCAACATGAGCATCATGTCCACAAGCATGCATCTTTCCAGGAGCCTTGCTCCTGTGCTCCCACTCCACCAGTTCCTATAACATCAAAACCCAACAATTCCCTCTTATGTCAAATTCATATAAAAGCAGCTCTGCATATATAAAACATCGATCTAATTCAATAATGTTAGCTTTATTCATCCAAAAAAAAGATACTAGCATTTTCATCTTAACTACAAGCTCATAAACCCAACAAAATACACTGCTTGATGCCATTGCCTAAAATAAAAAATATTAAAACAAACTACCTCCATGGCAAGAGCATCCATATCTGCTCTAAGTGCGACAAAAGGAGGCTTGCCAGTGCCAATATAGCCAACAACGCCGGTAACAGCAACTGGGAATTTGTAAGGGATACCCATCAGATCAAGCTCAGCTCTTATAAGCTTACTAGTCTCAAACTCTTCATAACCAAGTTCGGGATTTTCATGTATTTTTCTTCTAATACGAACCATCCAATCCATAATCTCTGGTTTCTTGGCAAAGTCAAGGAAGTTGAGTGGGATTTGAGCCGAGACTTCCTTGTTCAATGAAGGGTTTGAAGATATGGGTGTTGGCATAAACGAATGAAGAGCGAAAATCAAGAAAGCGCATTTGAGGATAGCCATGAAAAGAAATGAACGTGGATTTGAGATTTGGGTTTGAAGTGAAGGAAACAATGGCCTTTGTTTGCGGAACAGTAAGTAGAGCAGAAAAGTTGCCAATAACTATTTGACATCATGGAGAAAGAAAGGTTGTTCGATTTTTTGGTTAACTCGTGGGGTCAACGTACGGTAAAAACGGTAAATATATTTTCGTAGTGGTAAAAATTCACTGTTTTACTTTTCACCTACGTATCTCTCTTTTTTCTTTTTTTCTTTTTTTTTTAAAGAATTTTACTTTACATCAATCAAGGACAAAACATGAAGCCGAACCTTGAAGATGCTTTTTGTTCTTTTCTTCATATTGTTTCCTCCCATTTATTTATACTTGGTTTGGCATATATATATATATACTACAAGTCTTTTATAATTAATTAATTTCTGCTTAGCACGTGAATTATTTGTAATACATGATGTCATAATTATAATGATGAAAATAATAAGTTTGTTAATCATGATTTTATTAATTTTTTGTTAATTAACATTTAAAGTTTAAGGACATTTTACATATGTAAGTGGAAAATATAGATTTTTAAAAAAATTATTAAGTTATTGAATTGTTGTTATAATCTAAAAAAAGCAGATAAAGTATTTTAAAATTATAGTTAAAATTTTTAAATATTTAATATTATAAAAAATAGAAGTAATTGAATTTTTTTAAATATATAATAATAAAATATTAAAAATAATAATAAGTTTTTATCTCAAACATTTTTTTATCATAAAAGTATCTTTTATTTTTTGTTCGAATTTGAAAACCAAATTTTTAGATTGAAATTTTTTTATTATTTAATAGTGAAATTGATTAAAAACAAATTTTAAATAAAAAACTACTTTCAACAATGTTGAATAATGATAAACTAAACGTATAACAATATTTTTTAAAAAATGTATAACAAAATTTCCCTTATATTTTGCATTCTTAATTTTTTTCAATTAAATGTGATCAAAGTAAAAAGCAATTGCCGATTTCTTCGGGGTTTATTATTATTATTATAAATAGATTATATTTTGCATTGAAACGACGCCGTTATCTGCCTATTACAATAAAAATGGCGGAAGTGGGGCCCATTCTGCACAAAAGAGATCAAGTGACGCCACGTGGAAAGTCTACAACTTCAACGTATAGAAGAAGGGGCAAATGCAACTGCAGCTTCCCTTCTAACACAACACGATTAAGGAGAATACCCAAAAAAAATCCCACTTCCCCTTTTTAATCTTTCTCCAAGAATTCCCCAGATCTCTCTCCCTCTCTCAGCTTCCCACATCCCTAATTTCTCAATCTTACAGGTTAGTGCTTTTCTCCCCTTTTTGCAACATATTTTTTAACGCTAATTTTATTTGGTTGAATTTTCTTTTTTCTGTTTTTGAGTGATGGATTTATGTTTCTTTTGATCTAATCGTATTGGTGATTGTTGTTAAACAGAAGATCGGGGGTTTAATCGCAAAGAATTAACCATGTTTAACCGGCTTTTCGGGAAACCCAAACAGGAAACAAATGCTCTAACCACGTTAGACAAATTAAATGAGGTATATTCTCGATTTTGTATCTTTTGATGTTTGATTGGGAAATCAGTTATTTGCATTGAATTTATTTTGCGTTGTGCGAATTGTGGAACTTGAAAACTGCCGTTGGTGAATTCGATGGGTTCATAATTGGTTGGGATTTGCTTGAAAGAACTAAGTTACTCGCTGACGGGTTATGGAATAATATGATGACCTTTTTTGTGATTTCTTAAATTGTTTGATTCCATTATAAACCGTTGAAGTGGATTCACTTCGTACACAAAAAGAAGAAATGAAATTACCTGCTAAAATATATGAAGTGGAGTTTATTTCTGCAGTCTATCTTCAAAAAATTGGCCACTTTGGTTGACGACTTTGAGGTAAAAATTTTGCAGTAAATGTAATTGTTTTTTGAGCATGAAAATGGATTAATACATGGAATTTGTTTCTTACACTTATAATACAAAATTTATTGTGTATACATATTCCTTGCTGAGCTCCCTAAAATTTGACATCAAGATGGAGTATGATCGTTTTATATAAGGTTAGAAGTTTGGGCATATTGGTTTTGTATTAGGTATGCTTTCAAACTCCAAAATATAATCATAACACTAATTCCTGCAAGTTTTATTTCGTGTGGTGCCGCAAATTGCAAATAGGACTCTTTGCTTGTTTCCATTGATTGAATTACATTGTTTCTCTTCTAAATTTTGCTTAACTCAACCTTATATTGATCTCCATCGTGTAGACCCTTGAAATGCTAGAGAAGAAGGAAAAAGTACTTGTGAAAAAGGCTGCTGCAGAGGTTGAAAAGGCAAAGGAATTTGCCAAAGGGAGAAACAAGAGAGGTATAGTTGCAATGTATATGCAGAAATAGTTATTTTTTTCCTAGTTTTCCAGGATTTTCTCAGTTGAAAAATTATATATCAAGTTTCAATGGAACTGGCTGACTTTTGACTTTGTGAATCATAGTAGTTTTCATGTTTGGTTTCATTATACTTGTATATAAATATGTGATAAAGGATATAAAACTCTGTCTTGCAGCAGTATCATTTGATGGGTTATTGCTTTTTTATGCTGGAAATTCATGATAATTATTCATATTTCTTTAGTATTTATTTTGTAAATTTGCTGGTTCTCTTCAGTTATAATTCTCCCCCTCCCTCCCTCCATTTTTTTTTAATTTCAATTTCCAATAGAAAGGACAGAACACATAAGGGTGGAAATGCCCCCAAAGGAAAAAAAAAAACACTCAAATGTTTTACAGCATCTTTGTCTTTTAGGTCGTTTGGTTTCACAATAACTGTGAGTTCTTAATGTTCTTTGGACATTAAGTGATGTTCTGATGTGGATTAACATTAGCGTGTGAAGATATGATTCTGATTTTTGATTTGTAATGTGCTCATGTCATATGAACTTTTGACAATCAAAGATCTTGTCCTCGTGTAGAAAAAAGTTTAGATAGTTTAGTTATGTAATTTTAGCATCAAATTTGACTTAATTTTAAAACATGTTGTGTGCATTGATTGCCAAATTTCTATTGTTTACTCTTAGTACTCATTGATGCTACTCTTATGCAGCGGCTATACAGTGCTTGAAGAGAAAGAGACTATATGAACAGCAAATAGAACAACTTGGAAACTTCCAGCTTCGTATTCATGATCAAGTAAGCTTGTAATTTGTTATTTTTAGTGTTTTGACAGTGTCCTAAGAGGCTTTTTGAATTTGCTACTGTTTCTGATGACACCATACTTATTGCTATATATCAACTTCTACAGATGATAATGTTAGAAGGTGCTAAAGCCACAACCGAGACTGTAGATGCATTGAGAAGTGGAGCATCTGCAATGAAGGCAATGCAGAAAGCAACGTATGTAACCTATATATTTCTGTTGTTAGGAAAAAAATTGCTTTTAAGGTTTTCTTCATGTATTTGTCCCTTTGCATTGCCATTCTCCGTACTATTGAAGTGTGCTAACTTGCAACTTGTGCTATCTAAGTTGGCATTTATTCATGGGCCTTCATGAAGCATGGGCAATGGCTAATTCTCACTATTTTACTGAAAATGGCTTTCTTTACAGGAATATAGATGATGTTGACAAAACAATGGATGAGATTAATGAACAAACCGAGAACATGAAACAGATTCAGGAAGCACTGTCAACTCCTATTGGAGCTGCAGCTGATTTTGACGAGGTTCTTACTTTCTGATTCACTCTCTTCTTTTTCCTGCTGTAGTCTATGTTTTTAGCATTTATATACATCTAAATATGGTCAAAAACTTTTGATGCTGTAGGATGAATTGGAAGCAGAACTCGAAGAACTTGAAGGTGCTGAATTGGAAGAACAGCTTCTTCAGCCTGCAACAACTGCTCCTGCAGCTCCAGTGCAGGTGCCTGCTGGTAGGCAACCAGCTCGTCCTGTTCCTCAAAAGCGCACAGCTGAAGAAGATGAACTTGCTGCATTGCAGGCTGAGATGGCACTTTAAGGTAATTCATTCTAGTTCAGTTCGATCTGGGGGAATTACAGATGGAGTTTACCATTGCAGCATAATTGGACCATTCTTTGATGCTAATTATTTGTTTATAATTTTTTGCTCTGCAGGCATCTAGTAGAGACTAGAGAACTGGTTTTATTGCGTCTACTGCAGGTCATGTTGCAAAATACGAAAGAGAGGCCATATTGTATTATTGAGTCGACTCTTTTAAATTTGTGTGCATTTGATGTTTTACAGACAATGTACATAAAGATTGCATGAACTAAACGAAGCTCCCCTTCTTTGTACTCTGCTTCCTGGAATTTGTTTCCCATCTTCTCTCCGTTTCTTGCTCTTTCAATAAACACGTAATTCTATTCCGTCGGTCCTTGTAGCTATCTTTACTTCCCTTGTAATGTCAACTTCTTAGTTGATAGTTAATTATCTAGAAAAGCACATTTGATGTTTTTCATTTTTCGGTTACGGAACATTTGATATTTTAGTCCCAATTGATGTGCTCTGTCCTCGCTGGCAGGCTGTAAACCCCTTGAGTGATGCAATTATTTTCTCTATTTCATGCAATAATGAGTCGTGGCGTGATTAGGGTGGTTTTGCGAGGCGTGTTGGTCATATACCGGTGCAGGTAATTGAGGGCAAATGTGACAATTGAACTATTGCAATAGGAAAACTAGGGCAAAATGCGCGGACCCTTGTTTCTTTCGGCTGAATAAAACGTGGTGACATTGACACTTGTTCAGTGCTATGTGGCCGTCACTTCGACCTCCTCCTTATTAAAATTAATAACTTGTTGAATTCGACCAATGCATCCTTTTCTTTCTTCCATCTAAAACATACAAAAAAAAAAAAAGAAGTTAAAGAGCAATTAGATTGTAGTGGAGTATAGTTTAGCATAAAAAGATTAGCATTATCTAATCTTTCAACGCCAAAGTCTAATCGAACGTTGCCATTTTGGAGTGAGTTAGGGGGTTTCCTTTATATTTTAGTCGGGTATAAGCGGGAGAGACTTCAGCGTGGTGGGGATTCTTTAGATGGTTTTGGTGGGAGCTTTTAAATTTTAAGAGAAGGAGCAGACCTTTTGCGTCATGCTACCCACATGCAATTTTCATTTTTAGAGGAAATAGTGAAGAAACAAGTTGGCAATTTGCAAAGAAACAGAGATTAAAATTACAAGCTAGCAAGTGAAGATGAAGAAGAAAACAAAATTTTGGATAGAAAAGAATGAGTTTGAATAATGAGTAAATTATCATGGCTCAATTACGAATTATTTTCCATCTGGTCGTTCTCTGTCTCGACATGATGTCAGTGAATGATATACGTCAGCACCAAAGCTAACAGCATTAAAACATAGGCAATCCCCTGATCAACTGTTACCCCTGCAAATCAACATATAAACCGTGTCATGACCCCACAGAATAGAAACACCAACAATTCTTTACTGGTTATGATATAACCCTACTCCAAGAAAAAACAGATAATAAAGTTTTCTTTTTCTTCCATGACTTAAACAAAAACAGATAGAGAGAACAAACCATCGCTTGTAGGAGGAGGTGCAGGAGAAGGGCTTTGGGCATTGAAGGAAGGTACAACCAGGGCCAATACAAGTGCAAAAATAACCATTACTGCAACCCGAACCCTTAACATCTCCATCCTATCTTCAAGCTACAATCCTAGCCTTTTTTTCTTTCTTGGGTTCGTTTCTTCTGTCGAACTTTTGATAACCGCCGCTTTGAAACTTTAGACTTTGGGTTTGGGCGGAGGGGTTTAAAAAGAGGCCAGAAACTGACAATCTTTACGAAGAAACGGCCACTCTGGCTGCCAATGCCGTGAGACAATTAACAAGGCCGTGAACCCCACACCCCCCCCCCCCTTTTCGTTGTTGATTGGTGCCACGTGTACGATAAATGATGACTGCACGTTCAGACTCCAGGTATTGCTTAGTTTGGGTAGAATATTTGTTTCCATCGATGTATTATGTCATTTGTGGTTTTCAAAGTTCAAAGAGGATTTTGATTTCTGCCCTTGCTTTGGAGTTTGACCTGCCAAATCAACGTGCGATGGAAAGGACCCCCAACAATACATGCCACCACAATTTTGGCTGTACATTCACTGCATCTATTGGCATATGCATTGGACCTATGCGTTTGATGATACACACACCAAATTGCAAGTTGATAAATCTATTCATCAACTTTTATAAATAATGAATTTTTATAGCAATTTGGTTTTAATTTAATAACTATTTCCTTCTTAATGAAAGATTAAGGTGCAAAGTCCTTGTTCTTGTACAGAAAAATGAAAACTAAGAAAACGAACACATTCTGAAAATCGAGAAGCAATTTAGTCTAAAATGAGTAAATCATCAAGGAATTTTCTTGTTTCTACAAAGCCAAACCCGGAATTGAACAAGTGATGCTCTATTTTTATGATCAACTTCAAGTCATTTTACACCAATTAAGCCTTAGATGAACCTATTTTCACCTTGGCCACTATTATGGTTTGAACATTTGATCAAGACAGCATTTCTTAAGGTTGGGGAAAAGATGATAGTTAAGAGAAAGATAGTCTACATGGTATCACTTACGGATCCTTCTAGCATCTGATCACCAACCGCACGGAGTGGAATGGCTGGTGCTAATTCCACATAGTCGAAATCATCTGTAATTCCTACCTGTAGTAAGATTTGAACAGCAATATCTTAGTTGCACAAAGCAGAAACAAGTCTAACAACAGGACTAGCTTTTAAACAAGCATATGTTAATAATAAGGAAAAGAGAGCGGTTGTTCTGAAAAATGTAATCTGGAGTTTGCATTTCAGTCTGATTATTGAGCAGTGGCCAAAACAGAGAAAAAGCTCTTAGAAAAAAATTTTCAGTTTTATTGATTCTATGCCCACAAAGCCTTGGTACATGCCGTGTCATAGAGAGAGGTGTCTACTTTCTATGTCATGAATCCCCAAAACAAACAAATTTCTACAGGAACTAATTCACAGTCAGTGACTCAGATTTGAGCATTTCCCACTGGATTTGAAACAAATAAACCAAATGACATACAAGTTTGTGCACCCTAGAGATACTGTTGAAGACAGCATAAATAGAAGGGATACCATTGCAGAGAAGGTGGAGGAGTTATTTGCATGTCATATGACATTTGATAACTTTGTTCATTTGCTTAAAAGGAAACTAAGCAACATACCTCCTTGTACATATGTTCGAGCTGCTCTTTGGCTTCAGGAAAGTTGTTTGAGCACCACTGCCGCAGAGTGAAGATGTTGTCTGCAGAAGTTTTGACCGTAATTGTTAAGAAACATATTTAATATCACCCAAAATTAATAAAAATAACCAACAATATTGTGCATAACAGTATAAGCTCAATTGCACACGTATTATGTGCAGCATATAAATGGGAAAAGGAAGAGGAAATCAATATTATGCAAAAGGTAAGAACAAAGAACCTGTCCATCTGTTAGCTGCTCCATGGGCAACCTCAATTGCTTTCTCTGCCAAGATTAAATAAAATGATCAGCGAGGTGGGAGTTTATTGAACTACAGAAATGATGCTGAATCACATAAATGACAGGTGTAGGACAGAAAACAATCACTCAAGCGTCAAGGCAAAACAAGCACTAAACTCATTGCTTCAAATGCAGCTGGATCATTATCTGCATACTGTCCCATCTCCTCCTAAAAAATTTAGACCCCAGACAAGTTACAAACTCGAATACGCCTCTACATACAATTTCCTTATACAGGAAACAAAAGATACAAAGTAATCCAACCTTAAGCTCATTATATTTCAATTCTATTGCTTTTAATTCAGCCAAGGCCTCCTCTCTTTCATCCTGGTAAATGCACAATAATGTTGAGATATTATATACCAACAACGATCCCTAGAAACAAAGTTGAAATCCCAAATCACTGAACAAGCTTAAGATACTTACAGATTCTTCACGCCCCTTCTTTAGTTCATTACATTGATCAACAAGTTCTGACAACTTCTTCTTACTGCTTTGGAGATCTGATTCGAGTTTCCGATGCACATTCCTCAACTGTGCAAAAATTTACATCAATGTTGAGATGAAAACTATGTTAAGATAGAAAAAGATGCTAGAAAACAAAACAACCTGATTTCCAGCACAGCTTGGAAGGCTCCAAAAGTATAACTAGAATTTCATCATAAGAGCAATCAATCATATATAGATACAGAAAAATTAACATATTAATTTTCGGAGTAGTAATACAATAGATTTGTACTTACGGATGTTCCAATTTTGTCCTTTGAAACGAGGTCATCATCCACTAAACTTTGCACAACATCTTTAACAGATTGGGTAATTACCCCTTTCTTGGGGCCCAATTTTTCAAGCTCCTTAAGCTAAAATCATTAAAGAAATGCATGAAATTAATAACATGGTCAGCATTTAGACATATCAAACAACAAATTTTCAAAAAAAAAAAAAGCTGATATACTCACGAGGAAGAAGCTTTGGGATTCATAAAATATCTGGAGAATTTTCTCCCTCTTTTCTTCCATCGAAAGTCCTCGTTTCTTCGACTGAATCACAGTTGAAAAAGTACAAATCTTAAAACATTTCGAGCATTTCGCAGGAAATTTAAAGGATATGATAGCATTAATTAAGACAACGTTAGATCCAACCAAATTGGACAATCTATGTTTGGCGGCTAAGAAAATGAAGGAAAATAGAAGAAAACTGGAGAAAAGGAGAAAACTAGGGATTAGAGAAACTTGATTTTACCATGGCGACGATCCTTTTTCTGAACGATGGCTCAGCTGAAATCGAAAATGGAAAGCGATGATTAGAGGAAAGGTGTTTGAAATAAGACCCCAGATCAGCGTGCTTCTTTTGGCGGGAATTTACACTGCTATTACTCAAATACCCTTGTGTTTTTACATATTTACTCTTTTGGGCTTTTCACTTTTTTATAATTTTTTGTAAGAATTAATTACAATATAATATCTGAACGTAAAAGAAAATGTATAAATTGATACTTAAATAAATAAAATATATAATTTATCTTCTAATTTTTTAAATTATGTCTCATGTTACTTCATACTTTAATTGCATTAACTATATCAACTTATGTATGTAATATTTGATAAATATTGTCAAGTTATAAATTTATCACATATATTATAAATATTATTTTGAATATAATTAAAAATTATATTTTTATACTTGAATCATAAAAATTATCTAAATTTGGTTAATTACTGTATGTTATATATTATCGACGTGACATATACATAAAGTTTTTATAAAATAATTAACACATTTATTAAACAAATAACATACATGTAATAAGATTATATTAATTAAATATCATATAGCAATTTAAATTAACAAAATTATAATTTGAATTAAAATCATACATTATTTAAAAGTTTAATGTACAAATGATACATTTTATTTTTTAATATTAATTTATATATTTTTCAAATTTTAAATATAAAAAATTATAATTAACTGTTGTTTAGTCAGCGATTGCTGTCAAACTAATACTAGTACTATTTATAGTAATAATTGGACCAATTAGTTCGCTGTCATGGGGCACATGGCTGTTTTCCTGCCTTATATACAAACAAGCTCCACTATTTGACTTTTTGTGGTTCTACTATGGTGTACCAATTTTGTATGATTTTGATAGTTGCAACATCACCACTTGTTAGCAATTGGACGAATTCATTTTGTACGATACTGAGTATTTAAATTCGATAATACGGATTAAATGCTTAAGCCGCCTTTAGTTTTTACTTCAATATGGTGGAAAGGTCAAAATTCAACAACTTTGAAACTTATTTTAATGTGATACTGGGGGACTATTTCAGTGGAAATGATTGAATCCCCAGCCAGGATATGACTTTGAAAATTCAACTAAAAATTTAAGAAAAGCCAATAATTTGTTCGATATCCACCAAGGGCTTGCTTCCCATACTTTTCTAAAGCTTATCTTCATACTTTTCACTTTTCAGCATTAGTCCTATTGGCCTCAAGAAACAAAGGCAAATGTCTGTTGGTTTCCTTACTCCATTGTTGCTCTCCCTTGCTGCTGTTGTTGTAGTTCATGGGCAACTCCAAACAGGTAATTACTGAACTTTCCTGGAAGGATGGTTAGGATAGAATTCTGTTTAAATCTCTTTGATGTTTCACTTTTAACTTGTCTTTTGCTAGAGAATTGTTTTTAATTTGTAACAAATTTATAATTAAGAAGTTTAGAATTAGATTCAGTGTTACAGTTGATGGATGAATGTAGTAGATCAACTTCCAAGTCAATTTTTGAAGCTTTTGTTGATTTTAAAGAAAGTAAAAACAAGTTCATTCTAATGAAATCATGGAAAATTCTTTTCTTCAGGATACATAAGCATTGATTGTGGCTCACCTGAGAATTTCAACTTCGTAGACATTGACACTGGCATAAGTTATTCATCAGATGGTGCTTACATAGACACTGGGATCAACAAGAACATTTCTTCCCAGTATGCATACCCAAACAATCCAAATCTACCTCAGCCACTTTCAGATCTTAGAAGTTTTCCACATGGTAACAAGAACTGTTACACCTTGGCACCTGCAGCTGGAAAGAGAGGTTTATTTTTGATCAGAGCCTCGTTCTTGTATGGAAACTATGATGGTGACGATAAGCTCCCAGAATTTGATCTTTATCTTGATGTTAATCTCTGGTCATCTGTCAAATTTAGCAATGCTTCTGATGAAGTAACGACAGAGATTATCAGTGCTGCAGTATCGGAAACTATAAGTGTTTGCCTCGTAAACAAAGGTCTTGGAATTCCTTTTATATCAGCATTGGAGCTTAGGCCACTAAGTAGTTCAATTTATGGTACAGAACTTGGGAACACTGTTTCATTAGTACTCTTCAAAAGATTGGACATTGGGTATACAAATGGAACTGGTCGATACAAAGATGATATTTATGATCGAATTTGGTCTCCTTACTACTCTCCGTCTTGGAATATAGTTAGCACCTTCTCGGCAATTAACAGTAATGAAAATGGATATAAAGCTCCATTAGAAGTCATGAGCACTGCTGCAATGCCTCGTAATGGTAGTGATCAACTGGAATTATCGTGGACAGCTGATGCAGATGCTAGTAAATTTTATGTTTACATGTACTTTGCTGAATTCCAGCGGCTTGAGAAAAACCAAACAAGAAAGTTCAATATATCCTGGAATGGTTCCCTAATGTTTGGACCTTTTGTTCCTCGTTTCCTGTATGCAGTCACCATATCTAACTCAGAAGCCTTTACAGGGAAAGAACATCGGATTTCTATTCATAAAACGGGAGATGCAACCCTTCCACCAATTCTGAATGCCATTGAGATTTACACGGCCAAACAACTGGATGAATTGCCAACATTTTCTGAAGACGGTATGCTTTCTAGCATTTTTTAGTTGTACCGAATGCAATACTTACCTTAGGTTTGTTTTTGTATAAAGAGGGATTAGCTGAGATGTATTGACTGATTAATTATTCACCAGTTATTTATTTCTGGTTAGTTGCCTTGTTCTGCTTTAGGCCGATTAACTTAGCTACTATTGCTATGTTGATAGCAGGTTTATCCTGCTATAATGTTTTGGGGTTAATCAAAATTTCAACTATACAAAAACATCCATGGATAAATGTTTTTGATGGGTTTTGAATTGCTTATACATTTTAATAAATCATTTCTCACAGTTGATGCTGTTCTTGATATCAAAAGAACATATCAAGTAAATAAAGGCTGGGTGGGGGATCCATGTGGACCAAAGAATTATACCTGGGAAGGAGTGGAATGCAACTACAGTGTTTCACTTCCCCCTCGGATAATATCTCTGTGAGTTTTCTTGCAATATCCTTTTCCCCTCGTGAAATTCATTTTTTTGTTAAGAGTTTCTTATTTTTCAATGAGAGCAGTAACTTGACTTCAAGTGGATTAAGTGGCACGATATCTGCTTCATTTGGTAACCTCTCATCGGTGGAGTCCCTGTAAGTATACATGTCATAGCTGTCATACTGTTGAATTATATTTCTGCACTGATCCTGAACAGCACTTTCTCATAGCACCCAATGTTTCTAATGCAACATTTTCTGCCAGGGATTTGTCAAACAATCGATTATCTGGACCAGTTCCTGAGTTTCTGAAAGAACTTAAATCTCTCAAGTTCCTGTAAGTTATGGAGCATTAGGACTGTAATAGCAAACGATGAAGAACAAGTTATAACAATAATTTTACGTTGTGCCTTTGTAGGAACCTAGAAGGCAACCAGCTGTCAGGTTATGTTCCTACAGAGCTTTTAGAGAGATCAAAAGCAGGATTTCTTAACCTGAGGTCTGTATTTCGATATCTGCCACGATATATATGCCTTGTTTATCTTCTTTGACATGCCACTACCTATTCTTTAGGAGGAAAAGAGTGCTTAAATTCTGGTGCTTAACAGTGCAAAGCAATGTAGTAAAGGAAGATATTAACATGTAGAACATATTCTAACCACATTGTTTTCTTGACTCCAGAGTGGATGAACAGAATCTTTGTAGCTCAGGTTCATGCAAGAACAAGAAGAAAATTGTTGTTCCAATAGTTGCATCCGTGTTATCGGCTTTGATGGTGTCAGTTGGTTTTATTATGTTGTGGAGACTACGAAGGAAACGAAAATCAAGTAATTTTAAGTTTTTTCATATAGAATCCTTGTTCAGGCTTGAATTTCATCAAGATCTAACTTTCTGCTATACGAATTCTATAAAATTCCATTCTGTATTCTAAAGCTATGTTTCTGTCTGCACTTGCCTGGCAGACGCTGATGCATCCAATGGTGAGGGAAGACCATTGCCATCAAAGAATCGGCAGTTTACCTATGCTGAGGTTTTAAACATTACTAGCAACTTTCAAGATGTCATTGGCAAGGGAGGATTTGGGAATGTGTATCGTGGACACATGAAAGATGGCACTCAAGTTGCTGTAAAGATGCTTTCTCCTTCTTCAACCCAAGGGTCAAAAGAGTTCCAGACTGAGGTATGTGATTTTTCTCACATTGCTTTCTTTCTGTGGTTAACAAAACAATCTGATAAAACTAAACCCTACAAGAAATCCAATAAAATGTATGTATCTAATCAGGAGAATGATAAATACTTTGCCCAAATATTAATGTTTGCTTCGTATCTTGTCAAGAATTGAATTCAAGAAGTGAAAATGCCTCTACCATTAATTGGATATTGTCAAAAGTCCTATGAGTTTTTTTTAATCTGCAGGCTGAGCTTTTGATGAGAGTTCATCATAGGAATCTGGCTTCCTTCATTGGATATTGTGATGATGGAAGCAATATGGCACTCATCTACGAATATATGGCTAATGGCAATTTGAAGGATTACCTCTCATGTATCCTTATTTCATGTCATAGTAACCTGCATCTTTTAAGGCTATTTTTCATCCTGCAGTCTAAATTGATCCTCATGGGGATGATTATCAGATTATGTGACAACTTAACCCTTGCAGATAAAAATTCAAATAGATTGAGTTGGGAAATGAGACTCCGGATAGCAATAGATGCAGCACAAGGTTTGTACAGTTACCCCCACTGCACTGTGTCAAAAGTCAAAACAATGTTGATTCAACTTCTTGGTTAAGCATAAACAGGAGAATATAAAAAAAATTCCAAGCTTGTAAATCAATATATGCATGCACTCAACAATTTTCAGATTACCTTTAATACAGTAGTGAAAATATATGCTCCAATTTCCCATAAACTGTATCTTTATGCTCATTGGTCAGCCTCCATCTCAGACTAAGTTTGTCTGCAGAAATCAAATTTCTTAATGCCATTTTGGGCTTAAGGTACATGAATTCAGGATGATTAGTTTTGATTTGCAGGTCTAGAGTACTTGCATCATGGATGCAAACCACCCATAATTCACAGAGATGTAAAGACAGCTAATATCCTTTTAAGTGAAAACATGGATGCAAAAATAGCAGATTTTGGTCTCTCCAAGGCTTTTCCCAATGATAGCCACAGTCATGTAATAACTACAGTTATGGGCACCACAGGTTATCTAGATCCAGAGTAAGTGTCTCCTTTCCCCCTTTTTTATTTCCCATCTAAGGATAAATGTTTAACGCTAACTTCCTATTCACTAAGCACTTGTAGTTTGCATAAGATCAGTCATGGGTGAAAAAGCAGATATTGAAGAAAGGAAATTGTCAAATTTTTATATGAAGGTTTTTGATATTTTTTCCATTTGTTTAGGTACTACAATTCTCGGAAGTTAAATGAGAAAAGTGATGTTTTTAGTTTTGGAGTGGTGCTGTTGGAGCTGATTACTGGACAGCATGCAATCATAAAGAAAGATGAATCAATCCACATAGTTCATTGGGTGAGTCCTCTGATTGAAAGTGGGGATATAGGAAGTATTGTTGATCAAAGGCTGCATGGAGAATTTGATGCGAATTCTGTCTGGAAAGCTTTGGAAGTGGCAGTGGCATGCACAACACCAACTTCCTTCAATAGAGCTTCAATGAGCTTGGTGTTAACAGAGCTAAAACAATGCTTGGCCATGGAGTTGTCTCACAACAGGGAAAGAAGACAAGGGTTCAGTGAAGTGATTTACAATATTGGACCATACAATTCGCCTGAAGTTTATTCTCTTAGCACTGCCACTGAATCCATTACTAGTCCATCTGCAAGGTAGCACACCTGATTTGTATAACTTCTTTTGTTGCTGAAACAAGAGTTTTTCTTCAAGCAAAACTAATAATATAAATAGCATGATTTGCATCAGAAACCAAACTGGAAAATTCTATAATCTCTTGCAAAGTAAACCAAATAACTAATTCTCCAATAAGAAAAAATATATTTATATAGTAACCAACTTACATGATCTTGATTCTAATTTTGCTCAACTCTGATTTATTTCTTTTAAAGGATGTGAACAGAGCATAAATTTTATGCTGAACATCTAATTTAAAATCAATTAATTATAGTGAAAGAAACTTTTATTATATTTATGCATTCGAGATACATCTAATTTAATAGACATGAGATTTTTTTATTTTTATTTCAATATTAGTTAAATTGAAGTTAACCTGTGTACATAAATATAATAAAGATCTTTTCATTTGTAGTCAAATGATTTTAAATTAAATGCTTATTTTAAAATTTAATATGATATTAGAGCTAGCAAGCGATACCTCTGTTTCATTATGCCTACACATGAAGAACATGCCACTTGATAGTTCATTATCTATACGCATGAAGGGAAGTATTGAATTAATAAAAGAAATCTCGCATATGTTAGATTAAAAGTAATCTGAACATATATATAAATATAAAAAGAACGACTCTTAATTTATAACCAATTAATTTTAAATTGAATACTCTTCTTAAAATTCAATCCAGAGTTAAAATTAGGTAAAGCATTTTCATTTTTGCAAGTTTATCAGTGGCATCCCCATGGTAGATGTAATTGAGGTTCTTTTCCATGATAATTTCCAGTCAAGTTGACTTTAAAAAGTATATACAAAGACTTATCAAAAGGGATAAAACATTTCAAATTGGGGGACGACATATAATTGATTTGTAAAAGAGACGAGAAAATCATACAACCAGAGAACAAAATAACATAAGATTTTTTTTAGTTGACTTGGAGTCATCCAATAAGTACAGCTAAGGGATTGAATCAAGCTTTTTGAGATTCCCATCATGCACGTAACCTGACTGGATGTTTGTTTTAGAAAATTTGATTATTCCTCGGAGACAAACGATAACACACTTCAGGTCGTTCATAAATTTATAGCTGAGATCGTAAGGCTGAACATGTAATTCAGGCGATTTATTTCAAACAAATTCATGAATTTAAAAATAATCATAAAAATCATATTTACATGTCTTTTACAATATATAATTTATATTAAATTTGCAATCTTTTTTTTTTTTAATTCAAATGATCAAAGGCAACCCTAGACTTGTATGCATGGTTGAAAGAGATCTTGTGCTTACATAAGCCGCGATGAAAATGCTTGACAGCCATAATAACTAAAGCTTCTATATAAATGCCTTGTGGAATCTACTCATAATTATGTCATACAATGGCTGCTTAAAAGAGTCAAATTCACATGGTGAATAGATGCATTAAAATATTCTCAACTACGGCAAAATTTTCAAACACATGGATTCAGACATGCTTTAGAATTCTGGGTTTTGTGCCCAGGACCTTGATAGATTGGACATGGAAAAGATTTATATATATATATATATATATATTTATATTTATGATCAAAGTACTCTACGTCTGAATGCGTGAGTACGTGGTTTAATCAAAAGCATTAAAATAATTAATGCAAAACCAAAGCTAAATCTGAAGGGTAGGCTAAGCTTGAAAATAAGGGCATTTGAATATTCACCCTATCAGATTCCATAAAATTAATAATCTTCTAACAGATCTTAATTATAATAAAAATAATAATATGAAAATATGCAGCAAATTAATAGTAAAATTAATTCTAAAAAATTAGAAGAAAATTTATTTTAAAACCACTTAAATCAATAGTAAAATTAATAATTTTTTAAAATTAAACCAATTCAAGAAGTATACCACAAAAAACAAAAATAGAAAAAAAAGTAAAGAAAATCCTTTTTCTGCTTTTTGTTGAAGTTATTTTGTTCTATATTGAATGTTTTAACGTAGAGTGGAAAATGCTGGGAAAGTTCAAGGAAACAGGATTCAACATCGAAGTGGGGGAAGGCGCTTGAAAAGAGTTGGGTCTACAGCATTGACTCGAGGCGAAGTATCTGGAAAATTGTTGTATGGTCACCATTTTTCTAGTAGAAGTGTTAACTGAAATGCTAGAAATAATGAAGCCAATGGCAAGACTACTTCGCGAGCATCGCATTTCCTATAATTAATAATATTGTGCTTTAAATGTTTTGGAAATTCTGGGATCCTTTATGAGGCCATAATTCACGACTTGACTGATGAAAGATGCCTTTGATTGGTTTCCAATGTTTCTTTTTTCATGTCTAGGTTAGCTAACTAATTGACAGCTATTTATTGCAAAAATCTTGATTTTGTGGCATATAATCGAACTCTCTCCCCTCTTCAAGAAAAAAATAGAGTTTTAGAGTCTTCCAATGAAAAGTTTTGTCAAATTTTATGAAAACAATCGACTGCAAGGAATAGATGTTGCAACAAATGTGTAACTTTCATATAGGACGTAATTAAATTGATGGTGCCAATGTAAAGATGCTATGATTGAAAGGCCTTAAGCCAGTGTCAAATGATGCGATGGGTTTTAAAGGGCTATTTCCGTGCTGAGCACGCTGCAGCTCTCAAAGGTAATTGGATAGTGATCAGCCTAATCAAATGAGATATAACATTGTCAATTCAAGAGAGGTAATCTCAGTTCGCGTGCAACACAGCACTATATAAACAAGAAAATATCGTATGTTATTAATGATGTTCACCCCTAAAGTTTGAAGTTGTTCATCACATATTGTAAAACTAGGGAGATCTAGGGTTCAGTGTGTGTGTATATATATACACATATAAACCAGCTGATTTCGAAGACTGTAAAGACCAGAAAAAAAAAAGTTATTCTAAAAATCAAGTTTAGATAGGGAAAGAAGAAAAATCAAGTTTAGATACGAAAGAAGAAGAGTGAGAGAGCTGTCTCATGCATCAACTATGTATGATATGGCCATCGTCATGCCAGATTGGAGACGTTTTCTTCAACTTTGAATTGGCTCAACGAACGCAACTTTCGTGACCACTGACCGACCAGTCAGCAAAAGCTAATAGTACTTACAAATTCACAAATTCCCCTAGCTGACTGCATGCGCTCCCTCAAGTTCATGAACATTTCACCATAACAGTAAACCAAATTTTTACATTTATAGTAAAACTATAAGGCTCCACTGCCAAATAATATAAACATTATAGTAGGAAATAGTACAACCCACGTGACTGGTTCACTTTCTGCTGATGATTTCATAATTCCACTAGTTTAACTTTTAGTATCAGTTACATTGAACACTTCCAATTTCCCACCATATCATAATAGCCTACTAAACATCTTATTATAACTTTTGAAGAGTTATTGTCTCCACTATGTCCCCTAGTTCTACTACTTCATTTAATTTACCATCTTTAAAAAAAGACTTTTTCCCATCTTCATTTTGGATGAATTCTAGCCATTTATATGCATCGACTACTCTAGGGTCAATAAGTACTGTTGCCCAGCGATGTTGTAGAAGAAAAGAACCCAAAGCATGGAGCAACTTCACTGCTTCTATCTTGAAAGCAAGAGCCATTGAAAATATACCGAGGGCCCTCAAAATCAATGTCCAGTACGGTTCCTTTATCTTCAGCACCTCCAATATTGCTAGACCAAGCAGCATAATTGTTCTCCAAGAGAAAGGAAGATGAACTGGAAAGACTTGAAACTTCTTGAGAAGATGACATGCTGTAATTGTTATTTGCAGTACTCGTGCTATATTCCATAAGCCCTGGTAGAAGAAACTGATCAAGTTGGTCCAAAATCAGTCCTGGATAATCATAATTTTGCTGGTATTCCATATCTGTCACGTAAGGAGATGATGTAGTACTGCCATTTGCGTTCAAACAATCTGAATTCCCATTAGCACGAGCTTCAGCTTTAATAGGAATTGAGCCAGAAAATTGCCCTGAGATGATATTACAGGTAGAGCTGTCAGTGATAGTTTTGTTGTTGCTGTTGTTGTCGAGTCCTTTGATTTTTCCTGCCGATAGTTTTTTCTTCAACTTGGTGTTCCAATAGTTCTTTACATCATTGTCAGTTCTTCCTGGCAGTTGAGCAGCTATAACAGACCACCTAAACCGAGAACATAGTATCAAGACGTATTCAGATATATATAATCAAAACCATAAAAAAAATTAAAAAGAGAGACAGTGAGAGAGAGAGAGAAATGTAACTAAACAATTAAGAATTGAAGTGACTTGCCTACGTCCTATGCTACAATAGAGAAAGCATATAATGTTATCTTCTTCCTCGGTAAAGCCTCCACGCTTGATGTCTGGTCTGAGATAGTTAAGCCACCTTAGCCGACAACTCTTGCCACAGCGTTTAAGGCCTAAAATACAGAAATTTATTATCATCAAACAGAAAGAAAATATATACATGCATGCATACATACATACATACATACATAGATATAAATAGATATATATGTAAAAGCTATCATCGATCCTGCAAAAGTTTTTGAAGAAATATGTCATGAACAATAATCTTCGCCTTGTTTTCAAAAGAAAATCATCATTGGCGTTAACTCCAAGGTTTAAGACAGAAGTAGAGATGATGATGACAGGAGAGGAAAGAGACCTGCTTTGCGGGGAAGAGCAATCCAATTGCCTCCAGTCCCATATTTCTCAAGGTAGTTTCTGAGAGTGTTATCTTCATCAGATGACCATGGCCCTCTTTTCACGTGGGCTTTGTCACAGCAAGGAGCTCTTCCCATTGAAACCACTTCCTGATCTGATCTCACAAATTCAAGCAAAGCACAAAGAGAAGTTGAGAGAGAGAGAGAGAGAGCGGGGTTAAGCAAATGCTCAAGTTAGCGGTGGCTTGGTATGCGATATATATGATACGGTCTTCAAGCTGGATAAAAACTTCAGGAAACTTGACTTTTTCTGACTCTTTCATATGAAAAAGCCAATACGACCCTTATTATTATTGTTTTTTTCACACAATTGGTTTACCATCTAACTTGCAAACAATTTATTATACTTTAAAAAACTTAACTTAAATATATGATCATAATAATAAAAATTTAACAGATATAAAAATCATGATAATAAATAAGAAAAACAAATAAAACTTGAATTTTAATATTATTTAACTATTTATTAAAATTAGTCTATAATAAGTGAAAATAGTCAAGAATATAAAAGCACGAACAATTCAAAAATTAAAGAAATGGGAGAAAAAGGTTGTCGATTTATTTAGTAGTAATAATTTCTTCGTTGGATAGCTTAGTCAATGCCAGTGCCTGACATAGCACGGAGATTTCATGCATTTGCTGTCAGCTGCAAACTCATTGGTAGTTTTTAAAAGTCCTTTTTTTATCTTATATACGCAAGAGATGAGATGACTCAAACAAAATGTGATGTACTTTTAGCATTGGCTATTATTGTGACAATCCAATAATACTTTGCTTCAACCTTAATAAAACATTAATCAACCGTAAAAATTCCTCTATTTATGAATTCAATATTTCGCAAATGATGAAGACAATATTGTACGTAGTAGCAATTGAAATATCAGAAAATGACCATTTCAAAAGCTTAGGCTGATAATTAGCGATGTCCCTTTAAAGCTAACACAATGGAATAGGAGAATGTTGCATCAGCCAATAGGCAAATGAAGGTCCCCATGATCTGTAGCATGCCAAAAATGATAAAGCACCGATTAGCTAGCCTCTTACCGTCATGTTTCGACAGCCCAAGTTCCAATCACTTTAAATATATAAATATATATATATATATATATATGAATTGCAGAGGGTAAAAAAGAATTAATGGGATTTTTTTTTCTTTTTTGTAGAAATGTGTAGATTAATGTTAAAGTAAGCTGATATTAATTATTATCATCATGTTGGCCAATCCTGGATTTGTTTGACTAAGCAAACATTCAATAATTTGACTATGCAAGATATTTGATTAATTAATCAAATTAACTTTTGTAATACCTTTTTTTATTAGTTGAATTTTTCAAAAAAAGATATGTCATGAAACTACTTTCTTATTTTTAACCTTTATCTAGAAGTCGATTGAATTCATTTATCCAAAAAAAAATTAACTACATTCTTCAAAGATCGAGTCAATTGATTAATCAATGATATCGAACTTAATTTTCGTATTATTTTACTCATAAAATTTGAATAAACATATAACCCTTTGATGGTAACAAGCAAATTACTTCTAATATTCACACACATTTGTCCATGTCGAAGAAACTAGAAAATGAATAAATCGATTGAATGGTTATAATTAGAAGAGATCAGTGAAAAGCCAAATTGTAAATAGGTTTTAAATATAAAAAATTTATATGATTGATATCAAGGACTTACCTTCGAGTTTACTTGCTGCTAGATGTAGTAATTGACAGATCAGCAACAGTACTATCGCTTTCGATAGGGACTTTGAGAACTCACATTCAAAGAAATGGTCTCACGTTTTCTGCATTGAGTAGCAGAGAACACAAAACCATCTACCTTCATTTCTCAAGACAGAAGCCTATTCTTAGTAGGCAATGGATTAAGTATTGCCACGCCATCCTGGATATATGAAGGAATGCTTTGCGATATGATAAGTAAACCACCCTAGTCTATGCCAGCCAACTTCCTGTTGCTTGGGCCTCATCTCCTGCTAGACTTTAGCCATTGACTATATATTTGGCATCAGGAAATTTCCAAACTGAATTTCCATTCTGCTGCCTAATAAATTGAACTGCTATTTGCCTAGACTACAGCAGCTTTTTCCAACTCCAGCTGCTGCTTTGGTTTGTAGATACCTTCCAGATAGACTTCCCTTCCAGTACACACCTACGCCTGAATCCAGGCAGTCCACAAGGGGCCAGCATTGAAGAATAGAGACCAGATACATTGCATGATACAGGCTTGGCTCCACATTGACATATCTTTTCTGCCATATCCCTTTCACCAATTCCTAATCCATTAGAATATTATCTGTAATACTCCCACCTTCAATGAATGCACTTTGATTGTAAGTAATGAGAGAGGTGCCAGAATAAAAGTGATGCATTTGTAGACCACAAAGCAACAAAAAATTGGTCTGTACTCCTTAAAGCATCTACAACTTCCCCATAATATTGTACTCCAGTAAAGAAATTTTTTGTAACTAGACTTAATAGATTACTATGAGCTTGTAAAGTAAAACTTTGGACCACATTACATTTGGGCTCAAATCATTGCTCCATAGTCTTAACTCATTGATGCTTTGAGTTGATTAGACCAAAACTAGTCGTCTAGTCCTGTCAATCATCAACTCAAGTGGACAAGGTCCAAGCTGTCAAGTACAGTAGTAAAATGTCTTGAGCCTTTCTAACAAAAAGAAATGCCTTGGACCATAAGCCTTCCGACCCTCATTCTGGACATAATTGGGCTGTTCATATGGTCCATGCCGAAAGTACTAGGATGTCAAAATTATATCGTAGAAGTTGGGAAAAGCTTCTTAATTTAACCATATATCTATTCAAATTTGGAGTTGAGATGAGTTGCATAGACTTGAAATTAGAAACAATAGCGTATATTTGGCTGCATCAAGGAGCATAATAGATAGAAAGTGTTTCTTGTTCGATGCGTTTTTTCAGTCTCTTTTGCTCTTGATCAGCAGAAAAACTTGAGACTTAGTGTATGATACATAGACCCATTTCATTTTATCACTAAAAATAGCAAAAGCAATTGATCATGGAGTATTTGATCTGTTTTTTTTTTTTTTCTTTTTCATTTGTAAATATGAATATTATGTTTTAATGTTTTGATGTAATCCCTACTTTCTTCCCCCTCCTGGACTGTATATATAATTAAACAAGGGAGAGAAATTTTGCAATATCAGATCGGTTGAAAAGCAAATATTAATGCTGTTCATTACGTACCAAATCAGTCACACAAGAAGAAAGAAAAGAAAAAAAAAATTCCCAGAAACTTTACATTTACAAAAAAAAAAAAAAAAAAAAAACTTTTCAATCTATGGTTTAAATAAAATATACATATTATATTCCATCTATTTCCATAAAGGAAATCGACCCCAGATCATGCTTTGTCTCAGCTCTTTCTAAATTATATGGTATCATAATCCTAGTTCCAAAAAGTCCAAAGATTATTACATTCTGTCAGAGGTATATGTCAACATCAGATTGTACCAAACCCCACACCCCATTTTTTGTCTATACCTAAACTATTTGTTTTAAAGCAAAAATAATAATAGTAATAATAAGGTTAAATTAAATAAAGCCAAACCTGTTCGAATAAAACGTAACAGTACACAAGCGAAGGTTGAATTTGTCATTTTTTTTCTTTTCAATATAGCAAAACAATCAGCTTAATGAAACCATTAACACATGAAAGCGACTCCCAACTCTTGCCCTGCAAATTTTTATATCACTTCCTTGGGGTGATGGTAACCTTGTTTTGCCGGCAAATCACACTCTGCGGTGCCCTTTTTATTATTATTTGTGCCTATTATTTTGGCCTTGGTCCTTGTCAAAATTATATTACCACACTATCTTTCAATTTTTTTTTCTTAATTTTTAAATGTATTAAATGATTTACATCAATAAATATGGGTCCAATGCTTTCCCTTACTTTGAATAATTTTCAATATGAAGATTTTGATCAATATCGATCACGACCATGATTAAGATTTAGCACTGACAATTTTGGGAATATATTCAAGGACTTTAGGCAAGAAACCGGCAAAAGTCATCATCGTCACTTGTCCTAGATTTCTTTTTCTTGGACTGCAATTTGTTTGGACTCGCTTTTTATAGGTTTGAAAATTATAATATAAAAAAATAAAATTATTATTTTATATACATCTTAAAAGTTTTTAAACTTCAAATAAATTTAATAAAACAAAATATATATTTAATATTTTTATATCAAACTAATTATAATATGTAATTTAAAATACGTTATAAATATATAAATTATTAATATATTATGTATCAAATTTATTCTAATTGTTGTAATTTCTAAGCTCTATTTTATTGGGTAATATTTTTGAATTTCATGAATCAATAAAATAATTTTTCAGCACAAAGATTGGCAATAAAAAAAAAAAACTCGATCTTTTGGTGGGCAAAGATTTTTCTTTCTTATCGACGACATTAATGATGAATTATTGAATTACATTTAGTTTGAGACGAAGGGAGACAGTATTAATAATGGAGTAGCATTATGTATGAAGAGGAAACAAATAATTGTTCCTAGCTTTGGGATAAATCCATTGAATGTTTAGGATTAGTTTGTAGGTTGGGCTAGATTTGTAATAGACAAAGCACATGCATGTGTATTCATTAAGTTTAGCATTACAGGTCGTATCATCATCAGTATTAAAAAAGGGGCTCCCAACTAGAAGCTAACCCTAGAGTTTACAATCAATAATTTCCAGATCGTGTCTTCTTACTTAGATCCTTACGTGGATAGATATCATGAGAAAGAAAAAAATAAAGACAAATTATAATTAAAATAATAAAAATAATGTAATATAAGTAAAGCTGGTTCTTTACTTCTTGGTTGAAAAAAAGCGTTTTTAATTAGTCAGAATGAAAAAAATCTTGATCCTAGTTAGATTGCTATTGTTACTTTGTCTGGAGAAATATTGGATTGAGCAACGGCTCATAGCTAGGCTAGAGCCATGCAAAGAAGAAGGTTAAAATATTATGGTAGCTTCTAACGTGGCGTGGCCTGCTACATTGCCTTTCATTTAATTTTATTTTAAGTTAATAAATTATTATGCAATTTGAAAAAGAAAAATTAATTTCAGGAGAGAATTCACTGTGCTTTTAGAGTAAGGGATAATTAAAATTAAAATTTTATTATTTTATTAATGTTATAAACAACACAACTATCGCTAGTTTCAAATATATATATATATAAAGAAATAATTCTTTCTGGATAAAAGATCGGGAAAGCAATATTATAGAAGCAAGAAATATTATATCATACATTATAATTGGAAACAAAAGGTGATGAAGTAGAAGTTGCCAACTGTGGGGTTTCTATAGACTGGCATTTACGACCATTGCCTGCTTCATTTAAACGTCTTCGATTCTTCCAATTGATTTCATTTCCTTTATACAAATTAATCTTCAACAATAATGGTTTTTTTCATCCTTCTAAAAAAAAGAACAACTTAACTCATTCGGATCAAGTGGTGACAAATATAAGACAGTTTAAATAAGTCAATTAATTAATATTTAAATAAATTTTTAATTTATATTTAATTATTTTATTTAAAAAAACATTTTTTTAAAATTTTCAATCACGTCAATTTTTTTAATTAAGAAAAATATTCAAGTGACATTAATCGTAAAATAAATCAATTTTATATTTTAAATAATAATTTATTTAAATATAAATTAAAAGTTAAAATTTTATTTATATAATAAAATTTAAAAATTCATTTTAAAAATAAAAAATAGAGCTCGTTTAATATTTTAGCAAAAAAAATTTTATCAAGTCTAAATGCTTTACCTAGAAGCTAATGCAACATCATTATTTCTTCGTACACAAAATTCGGCCGATTGGTCACACCAAAGTAATAAATATATACTCGATTCTTCTTCTCGCCATCTCACCTTTGGCGCATCCACAGGTTACCTCCCTTGTATCTGTCTCTCTTCATATACAAGTTAAAATCTCATAACCCAATAAGCAACTAACATTTAACCAAATAAATAAATAAAATAATATGCTGTAATTTATAAATTTATTCTACATATATAAAAAAATTATTTATTAACAAAATGTTCAAAACTGATTTTAACCATATAATAAAAAAGAAATTAAATTCAACCATAAAATAAAATAAATTCATTAAATTACTCAAATCTAATAATAATAAAGATGAAATACGATTCATGCATTCGCAATCAGTTAATAATTTACATAAAAAAATTCTTGGAATGACTAAATCAAACTTTTATTATTAATTTTAAAATCTTATAGAATGAAACCTATGTCTAAACCATGATTTGGTCAATTTTGCACGGTCCGATATTACCCAAAATTGAATGGGTTTTTCTTCTCGAATGATCCGAGGGCTAAGTGAGAGTGCCTCACCATCATCACCCCCTACCCCCCCTCCAATTGAAAATGGACATACACCATCATGTTTTTATCTAAGCTGTTGAATGAAATTTCATGATGTTGCGTGTTGGAAGGGTTAAAAACAAAAGAACAAGTAAAGTCGGGTGCCAAGCTCTCTCTGCTTCCTCTTTTCAGAGATGTATTTTTTCTCTACTTCACACCCACTATGTCCCACCTTGACCAGGAACCGGGAAAAAGCCAATGCTTCTCTTCAAACTTTAGATTACATATATGGAAAAATAATTGCCAATGCTTGATTTCTTTCCCAACCCTGAAGCCACACTCCATTCATACTCCGTTTTCACTCCAAAATCCACATCGATGCCGGGAAAGATTTGAGTGTTTGACTAGGTTAAGTTTCAGTCTACTACTTCAAACATCATCACTCGCGGAAGTTTTGAGAAGAAAAATACTTGAACAGCAAGTCTGTATCATACTCAATGGCAAAAGTCTATGCTGATTGCGTCATGCACTAATATAATGGAGTTAACTCTGAAACTATCAAAATGGGAAATCCTTCACAAAATATTAATTGCATTAATCTGCAGGACCACAAGAGCATGCATAGCTCTGATATTTTACATTGATAATTATAATAATATTACTACTAGTATTAAATAAAGATAAGCGACTTAGATAATCATAATTACTAATACTTAATAAAGCACAAAATCAACCATTAAAATAGAGAAATAATCCGTCGTCTGCTACCTATACAAAAGCTTGTGCCCTTTTTTTTTTTTTTGAGTTCTGATCTTCTGAAGTTCATAGAAAATTCCCCAAAAAAGAGATTCTAGTCCTCACCAGTCAGCACCCCACTTTGCTGGTAGGAAATAATATTTGATATGTACACGGGATCTTCAAGTTTGGTGAAGCAGCTATCCCAAAATATATTTGAGATTTTGAGAATTTTCAGATTTTCTTAACTTTTTCTTCGGATTCTAATCCTGTGAGAAGAAAACTCAAAATAGATTCAAATAAATCAGAAAATAATGAAATAGATTCACTTTTGAGCGAGACAGCTCACTTCCACTCCTTTTTTTTTTTTTTCACTTAATCAGATCCGAAACCCAATCCACGTCAGGACCTTCAGAGCACTGAACTGGGTTAACCCTTTCCAATGAATTCTCTTTACTCAGTTTCTCAAACATCTTCGCACGTAAATCCCTTCCTGACTCAACTCTTTCCATCATCGGCTCTTCTTCACACACTTTATCACAAAAATCCAAGTACCCAATTCCAGGATGGGTCAAGTTTCGTGTCGGAGTACTAGGCAGACTAAAGAAACCGGGTCGGATCACTGCCCCTCTCGGAGACCCGAACGCAGAAGGAGAAGGAGAACAGCAGCCTACTTGTGTGTTCCAAGAAGGCAAAGACTTAACTTTACCAAGCTGCAAGTTCCTCAAAGAAACCACCATCTCATTAATAGAAGCCGAACCCAGAGACCGACTCAGCGACTGAGCCATAGGTGAAACGGGCGGTGAAGACTCAGCTCGAGGACTCATCGGAGGGGAGCCGGAACCAGGAGAAGACCAAAAAGTCAGCGTTTTAGCACAAGAAGGTGAACCATCATACGAATCAGGAGAGCTCACAACCCTAAGCTGGTCCGGAGTATGAGCAAAGAAACAAACCCGACGCCTACAACCCTGCCCGTCTTTGCATGGCTGAGTCCTGTAACGAGCAGGGTGGAGCCAGCACTCGAAAACCCCATGTGCGAACTCGCAAGAGTCTCCTTTGCGACAGTTTCCTTTCCTGAAATCAGGGCAAGCCGTACCAGAGTAATGACACTTCCTCGGGTCCCTCCGACGAGCTTTTTCACCAGGATGGGCGTACGGACACTCAGTCCAGTCATGAGACCGGCCACGTGCACATCTCCTAACTTTGAACTCAAACATCCTGAAATGATCGCAAGAGTAAGCATCAACCGGAGAATCCGGGTTGTCCAAACCCGAAAGCTCAGAATCCGACTCGACATCTAGTTCGTGCGAGGGCAAGTAACGTTGTAGCGTTGCTAACGCTTCCTGCAGGTAAAACGGATTACCGTTATTGTTGATGTGGTTGTCGGCTGCATTGTACTTGAGAGGAGAGTAAACCTCGGTCGTTTGATCACCATCAAGGTTAGGCCACGGTGGAACGTGTACCGTTGGATTAGGGCGATGAGTTTCTCCGAGCATCATTTTGCTGGTGTTTTGGATTTGTGAGATTTGTATACATAATCACCAGCAAGGTTTGGTTGTTTATAAGCCGAAGATGGTAATGGAAAGTAGGGGTTTAAACCGTGGTTAGGTTTGTAGTAACCGTGGTTGGATAAAATTCTAGGAGCTATTTTTTATTTTTTTCTATTTTCCGCTTTCAATTGCGGCAAAAAAAATCCAGGTGGAGGTAGTATTGGCGTCACGTGCTTGTTATTTAAGCAGATTTGAAAGTGCTTGTAGCGTTGCCACCTGTTGAGATTTGTCTGCAACGTGGCATTCCTTTGAGAAAGCTTGGAAACAATGTGGTCGCAGGGCTGTGAGGTGATCGAGGCTTTAGAATAATTAACCCAGTTAGGCCCTTGGTGTTCCGGCTTCCAAAGGCAGAGGAGCTTGAGATCCGCAGGATTAAAATGAAAAAATTGTTGTTTTCTATCTTTTTTATTTTATAAAGAAGTAAAAAAGGAATAGTATTATTGTAGTACAAATAAACGTACTGACAAATCTCCAGCCCCATCCACTTCTCTGACAGAAAAAGAAGAAAGATTTTTTTTTTTTGTAAGCGATAGATCAAAATCTCTGAATTTTTTTATGAAATTAAAACAATTAACGACGTAATGCTATTATTGGAGATGTTCAGCTCATATTACTTTTTTTTAATTAAAAATATGTTAATTTTTATTTAATTTTAAGTAATTTTATCTTTTCTTTTATTAAAATTTAAAATATGAATAATTTAATATAATTTTTAATGTTTATAATGTAAATTATATTTATTTTTTACATGATATAAAATATAAAAATAATGTATTATATGCTTAAAAAATAAGTTAAGTCGATCTGGGCCCAAATCTTGGAAGTTATTAAAATCAAATTCCAATAATTTTTTAAAGGATCATTTATTTTTTATCAAACCCTCTTAAATATCATTTGAATTTTCTATTAATTAGACAATTCAATTTTTGAGGAGATCTTGTTACTACATGTTTTGGGGTCCAATATTATTGACAAATTAAAAACTATAATACTCATCTTAAAACAATCTTCCTTTTTCTCTAACTTTCATCAACATTTTTATTCTAAATTTTAATTAAAAATTTTATATTTATTTTTACTGTCTACCATGTAATAAGAGTTGTAGGCAATAAAATTATTAAATTTTAGTTTTTAAAATTTTCTTTTGGTAATTTGGAAGTTTTCAACAACCTTTTTATTAAATTTCAGTAGATTTGTTTTTTGTTCCAAATTTCATTGGATTTGTTTAATTAATTGTCTAACTAATGTATTATTTGATATACATAAACGAAAAATTTTTAAATTTCATAAATAAAATTGATTATTTATCATTTTATTTTATTAATTATTTTAAATATACTGTCACACTGTGCATGACAACCTTCTTACCCCACCGATGGGGTTTAAAACTTAACAACGACGTGCAAACCACTCTTTTTATCAACTTCTCTTTATGATTGTGTGAATTTTAAAATTATTAAATAACTTTGATTTCTATTCCATGGCTATTGGTTAGTCTCACACATTAAAACATACATATGATCGGGTCAACTGGAATGAAATTTTATTTATTTTGAATTTGATTTGATTTTATATTTATTAAATTTAAACTTGATCTAATCTAAAATTTTTTTTAGTTTTTTATATCTTAACCCGATATTATATAGATCATATCCGATTCGATCCGAAATTAATAAAAAGATTATTTTTTAAATATAAAATAATTTTTTAAATATTAATATTTAAGTATATTATTATATAAATATTTAATTAATTAATTAATTTAAAATTTTATTTTTATATAATATCAAGTCGAGTCAAATTTATTTAAAACTTGAATTCGATCCAACCTCAATTTTTTTTAATGTTACTTAATCTGATCCGATTCTATCCGAAATTCAATTTAAAAAAAAAATTAATCCTATAGAGTCAGGTAGAGTAGAAATTGCCATGGGTGGATTGGGTTGCAAACCCTAAACTTACCTATACTTTCAAATCATCTACATATTAGAAGTATTTATGGGTTAAATTGGATAAAATTAAGATCCATTAATATTTTTAAAAGCTTATTAAAAGCTTAATTATATTTATTATGAAACTATTAAAAATTCATGTTTATTTTAAATATATTTTAAATTTAAAATATTAATTTAAAAACAAAATATTTTCACATATTTGAAACTCGAATAATTTTTTAAAATTATATTCATGTTGGATCATATTCACGAATCTTATGAATCTATCTGCAAACAAATATATTACATATGTTAATTATTTTAGAGGACATCTCTAATGTTAATTAAAACTTAAAAATTATTTTAGAGATCTCTAAAACAAATAGTGAGAAAAAAAAATTATTTGTGTATTCAAAATAACCCAATGACTAAAACAATCAGTCTCAACGGCCTAAATTGAGGGTAAGCTTTGAAAATCTTAAAGCCACTAAGTAATATTAAACCAAAGAAAACGATAAAGTATCATGTTTGCCTTGTCAACTCATTTGTCACTGATGTTTTAACTACATAGAATTTGTTCGATGTAATTTGATCATTGGGTCATATCAAAGGTAATAGTTCTGATTTCCCCATTTTTTTTTCCCTTGTCCATTTTGACTATTTTCATCATTTTCTCTTCATGAAATTCCCTGTCCCCCATGTATAAAAAAGAACAGCAAAAAGGAAATATACTAGCAGAAAGTAATATTTAAGTTGGCCCATTTGAAGTTCAAGCAAATGATTGTTACAAGCACAATGTGTTACATCCATTCTTTGTAATGCTGTCTTTAGCTTCACTTGTTTAACTCATCATTACCATATTCTTATCCTTATCCTTAATTTTTTTATTTAGGTTTAGGTTGGGTAAAACTTTTACTATTTGCTTTTTATTTTTAAGGATAAAAATAAATAAAAAGCAATGAAGGAATAGTACAAATCTAAAGCATAAACCCAATGGTACTTTATTTATTATACCAAATTTATCTCATTAAATCAAATGATATTAGCTCACTCATATGTTAATTCAAACAATCTATAAAGTAGTTTATTATATTTTTAAATTTAATAATTTTAAATATAATACGATAAAATAATAAAAATTTTCATATAAAAAAATATAATATAATTTAAAATTTCAATATAAATTAAATATAAGTTCAATAAAAATATATGTTTCTCACTCGATATATCAATATGAATTAAATATAATAATTTTTATATTTTATAAATATTTAATACAAAATAAATAAATACGAATAGATAAAATGTTTGATCTAGAGATTATTTATTCTCATTGCTCATTGGCTTAGTTTGTATTTTTTTTTAATCTTATTGTTCCTGTTGTTTGAGTTCATTTTGATGAGTTAAATTAAGATAGATTAATTTTGCCAAGCATGCAAGGCAATCTGTTTAGGGAAAATCTTATATATGATTGGTGGAATATAACATGCTGTGGAAGAAGAGCCAATACTTTTGGCTTCGATCTTTTTGCATATTTTGGAATATAACGAAGAGGAGCTTTAATTAGTGCTTTTAAAAACAGAACTTTTACTATTTTACTTTGTTAATTAGGGCAATTTCTTCCGGTCACCAAATATTCCTAGGAAGGGTTTCAAACCGAAGGGGAAAGGGCAGCTGTAGGTTTCCCTAATTCCCTTTCAGTACGTCGGACCTCAAAGTCTATTTCTGAGCTCTGTCATCCGGAGGAATATTAAAATCCTCCCATGTGCATCATTAATTTTTTACCCTAACATTTTTGTACGAAATATTGTTATATTTTTATGCAAAATATTATTGATTCTTGAAATATAATAAAATATATAACGTAATTTTTAAATCATAAATATATTAATAATATAATATTTAAAAAATTATTTATTTATTGTGTATTACTATTTAGAGATATATATCATATTAATTTAATGTTTATCTATACTTTAAGTATTATATTACAAAATTTTAAAATATAAATATTTTATTAAATATTTTATTATAATTTAAAATATTTAAAATATTATTTGTTTTATAAAAATTCTGTGTTGAATATAGAATAGAGTGAGTAGTTGCTTCCTGAAGCGTGTGGACAGGGCGAAACCTTGTTAGAGTCTCTTTCACAAAATATATATTACCAAAAACTATTAAAAATGTCTCATTTTTGTCAATTCTTGAGAAAATTATTTTGACTAGCATTATTAACTGGTGGATGGAGAAAATAGATATATAATTGAAAGTGTACAGGTGGAGGCAAGATGGGGTCTGAAATGAAGATGAAGCCATTAGCCATGTGCAAAAGATGGGCCTTGAAGACAAATCATCAAAAGTTCTGCCTACTATTACTAGTTAGTACCAACATCGATATCAATGTACATAATCAATAAAAAAAACAAAACCCTTTTACTACGAACACCTGGCACTTTCTAGATTCCTCTATATTTTGCCCATTTACTATAGAATTTAAGTTGTTTTTTGGTTCTAATTACGTGAGCAATTGGACTTCAAGATAGTCTACTATTTAATATAAAAATAAAAAAATCTTATTATTACTGTTAGGTTTTCATATTTTTATTATTTTTTTTAATTTTATCAAACTTTTATCACCAAAAATAATAATTGCCTCTCCTTTTGTTATTTCTACCAAATTATTCAATTGGGTAATAAAAGAATTAGGTAAGGTTAATTAATATTTTTAACAAAAATTTCTCATATATTTAGGAAAGTAGTATGAATTGACATTTTACTAATTTTAGTTTCAATTTTTTTAAATGAATATATTCAGGAAAGTAGTAAAAACTCAAACTTGTTTTAAGAAAAAATACTTTTTAGAATAAGATGCATTCACATAATTTTTGTACAATTCAAATAGATGGGACCATCATTTAAAATGGGGACCATATAACTATAAAGATACTAACATTTTTTTTTTGTACCAAAAATGGAATTAGATTGTTAGGTACATTTGAAAGCCCCATTCTGGGTCGGGAGGAGAATATCGTCAATCGGCGCCTAAACAAGTCAGCGGCAGTCACGTGATGATCAGAGGAACAAGAAACGATGGAGGCACACGTGGCATTTCACGACAGAAATCCTCTCCCGCCCCGACAAAACGCCACAACGCAAAATTTATTTGTACGGATGATAATATGTATTTTGTATATATATATTTTTTGCCATTGTTGTCCTTTTAGTTTGGGGCAAAGAACGACACGACATTTGTGAAACGACTCGTGGCACCATCTTCATGTCCTCTGCCCTCCCCTTTTGTCTCGAGATTCGTGTGCCTTTGACGCTTCTAATTTATCAAAT